CTATAGATTATAACTTACTTAGTTAGAATCCACTTCCCCCCAAGCGAAATAGTTGCACAAAGTGAAGTATAAGCTCTTCAAAGTTCACGCTTCCTCGTGTTTCGGAATCCATGAACCGCCATTGTTGTGTTGCAAATACGCATGCGCTTGAGCACAAAACACGTAATGCGCACGCGCAGATAAGAAAAACTGATCTCAATCTAGGACTGGACAAGGAAAAAATATGAAATGTGCGAAAACAGGGCTGAAATAAAACAAGATGACATCGGAATATTTTAAAAATATATGATATTTTTATGTTCTGTGCATTTTAATGGGGCTTACCAAACATTCTGAGCAATGTACCGTATCGAGCCCTCGCCAGGAACACTTCCAAGCCAACATTACAATAATAACTTATTTAAAATATGATGTTATTTTATACTACAGCAATTGCATAACGTTTGCAAGCGAATCAGGCTTTAAATAATATCACAATCCTAAATATTCTAAAACATGCATACCATAATTTCTCTATCCAATTTAGAAGGGGGGAGGAGGGTTTAATTCTAACTGTTTTGCACGTTTGATTCTCTTTATATATGCAACATCGGGTATTGTGATTATCAGTAAAATATCATAATTATCTTTCAAATACCACAATTTCATGTTTCATGATTTTATACATTAATTAATTGGTTACAGGAGAAAGGGGTGGGGAGTAGGGGTCGAGGTGCTAAACTGAGAAATTGCGATATACCATAAGGGAGTGGTCATTATTTATGGGGAGGGGGGGGAGTTGGGAAATGGGGAAAATGAGGATTGAAAACTTTTTTGTCCCCCCCCCCTCCAGACTGAAGGCAAACTTTTTGTGCCTCCCTCCTCATAAAAGTAGAAACTTTTCTGACCCACCCCCCCAAGTGTAGATTGAAAAATTAACAGCAATGAAACAGGTGTGCATTGCAGGTAAAGTTAGATATTAGGACAATCTGTTCAATCTAGCTCATGATGTTTTATCCTGGGGCCGTTTGTTCAAAGGTGGGTTAGCGCTAACCCTGGGTTAAAAGTTTAACCTGCTGTTTTAGTTTGTGTATTTCTGCACGTCTGTTTATTTCAAAACTTCAGACAAGTAAACTCCTATCCATCCAGACAAGATTTCTGAAGAAATATTTCCAATTTTGGTTAGGTTAACCTAGGGTTAAGCTAACCCAGCTTTGAACAACCGGCCCCTGGTGAATATGATTCAACCATATATGATTAAAAAATGTATATCATGTGTTACTACTTTGCAATGCAACATTTGTCCTACCATAACGCTAACCCATGACCCGTCTTCATACAGCGAAATGAGATTTTAAGAACTTGTCTGCGGGGTGGGCATCTACAAAAAAGGACCATACTATATTGAGTGTGTAGAGACGACAGATGGTTGTTGGTGACAAAAAGTTTGGTGTGGTATCGTATGTAGTAGTAAGGGGGTCTGGGGGTATTCTCCCCCCAGAAAATGTTTTGTATTTTTCCACCCCTAGAACTGAAATCATGTGAGCATTTTCTGAAACAGATTTTTGGATATACAGCGTTACATTGTGCGTTGATAGACCGAATCTGATCAGTTAAGTGCACTTGCATGGTATGTTTATGTAAATACCACAACTGGGTCACTCAGGGGGTAGAAAGCTTGTTAAACTTAGTGGGCCCAACTCCCACGATCGCGAGGCGCTACCATGGTTGGCGCCGAGCAGGGAAATTTTGAAAATTTTGAGTCTCTAGATCGTTGGAAATAGCATTTTCAGAGTCTTCTTTTTTGCTATTTGTGATTATAGAAATCAGAACTCTAGACATGGTATTTAAGTTCAAAAACTTTCATAACCCCCCCCTTTCTCTGTGTTAAAACTTTTTTGACCCCCCCCTATTTATAAGGGTAAAACTTCGTTTGCCCCCCTCCCATTTCCCAACCCCCTCCTCCCCATAAATAATGACCACTCCCTAAATATGACTGAGTGTTACTCGGTGCTCACAATCTTATTTATTTTCTAAATCTTTCCCTGTCAATTTTATTAGTCCAGGTTCGTTGTTTATTATTTCTTTTGCATTTAATCCATTATTAATAAGAATGAACGGAGGTTCAGGCTCTACGCTGACTGGAACTTCATTACGCACTCGGTTTTTGTACCAGCCAATTTCGTGTTCAAACACTCGTGTTACGTTGTTGATCATGCACGCCTTTATCACGAACGCCTTTTCGCCAATTCAGTATATTTGTGCAATCATCGTGATCAGTTTATCAAAAAACAACAAAGGAGAAGGAAATAGCTTAGTAGATTTTAGGAGGTATTGTTATGCAACAGCATTAATGGCGTGACGTTTGCAATCTAATTATAATAACTTGCGCATACGACGCGCGCATACCAAGAGAAAGGGAGTTTTTGTCTTATCTATTTAGCATTAACAGCTTTAAATTTCCACAACACACTGTCCATTCTCACTCAAGTAAATTTAAATATGCTATCCAACAGCATTAAGACGGAAATCGGAACAAGACCAACAGATTACCTGACTCAGACTGAGTAGTTTTCTCTTTATCAAAACATCACTTCTCTCCAAAATGTCCAGAAACGTAGCCATGCAGGATTTTTGGTCAGGGGCAGCAAAAACGTAGGTGGGCTATGTTTCACCTCTTTTTATAGAATAAATTTTCTCAGGGGGCACCAAAATTTTACCAGGGGGGCGGGTCCCCCGAGCCCCAACATGGCTACGCTAAAGGCGTACATGAACAACGAAATACGAGTGTTTGAGGATTGGTTGGTACAAAAACAGAGTCGTAATGAGGTTCCAGTCAGCGTAACTCAGAATTGGTACGTTGTCCCTTGAGGCAAAGAGTTAACCTCCGTTCTTTGGCTTAATAATGGATTAGACGCAAAGCCAATAAACAACCATTACCCGGACTAATAAAATTAATTGACGGGAAAAGATTTAGAGAATAAATAAGATTGTGAATACCGAGTAATACTTAGTTTATGGTATATAGTCATTTCTTTGTTTAGCACCACTTCTTCCCCACCCCCGGCGCTCTCCTGTAAGCAATTAATGTATAAAATCGTGGAGTGAAATTGTATTTGAAACTTGAAAGATAATTATGATATTTTACGGAAAATCACAGTACTCGATGTTGCATATTTAAAGAGAATAAAACGTGCAAACAGATTCTTTGTGTATATTAGAAATACCTCCCTCCTTCCCCCCCCCCCAAAAAAAAATAAATGATAAATTACGGTATGAGTTCTAGAACGTTTACAGGACCGTACGCAGAATGTTTTCATCAGCTGGGGGCAGTAAGGCCTATATGCCGAAAAACGTCACAAATATCCAATGAATAATTAATAATGATATTGCCTCCCCTGCTGTGTACGGCCCTGAATGTTTAGGATTGTGATAATATTTAAAGCCTGAAAAACAAATTTGCTTGCAAACGTTATTTAATTGCTGTAGAATAAAATAACATCATATTTTAATTAATATTTTAAATAAGTTATTATTGTAATGAGTGGCTTGGAAGTGTTCCTGGCGAGGGCTCGATACGTTACATTGCTCAGAATGTTTGGTAAACTCCATTAAAATGCACAGAACATAAAAATATCATATATTTTTAAAATATTCCGATGTCATCTTGTTTTACTTCAGCCCTGTTTTCGCACATTTCATAATTTTTTCTTGTCCAGTCCTAGATTGAGATCAGTTTTTCTTATCTGCGCGTGCGCATTACGTGTTTTGTGCTCAAGCGCATGCGTATTTGCAGCACAACATTGACAACAATGGCGGTTCATGGATTTCGAAACACGAGGAAGCGTGAACTTTGAAGGGCTTATACTTCAATTTGTGCAACTATTTCGCTTGGGGGGAAGTGGATTCTAACTAAGTAAGTTATAATCTATAGATTCATGTAAAAATTATGTAGTTACACGAGGGGTGCTACGGAATTGAACATTTTCGACCCTCATCCAACGGCCTAATATTTATAATCTGTGTTATTTAAGCTTCAGTTTGATATATACAATTTGATGTATTTGTGATTAATGTCTCAGGCATAATTTATTTTCTTTTCCACTTTTTTCCAAAAATAAATCTATGCGGCGAAGGGTCAATGTTTGGCGAGTGTTAGCCTCTGAGGTAATTGGACATTTCTCTTTTTTCTGAACAACAGGATATGAAATACGACTCACAATTTAACGCTGAGTTCTTCAAAATTGAAGCGACAGAATTTTTCCTGGAAATTGATGCTGAAATCAACTCGAAAGGTCGAGGATTTTTTTACTACACCCCGGGCGCTGGAGTGAATGAGAGCGATGGCGGATCTGGCGCTAGCCACGCAACCTTTGGAGGAACGAGAGATAACTGGAAGCAGGGAACAACATACGGGTCCTTATATGAACCTATTACTGCTGGAAGTCGTGGAGGAGTGGGACCTAGTGGTGTGCTTGGCGCTCGTGGTGGCGGGGTAATGAGGATCATTATTGGACATTCATTTCATTTAGATGGTGTCGTTAATGTGGATGCAGATAATGCAAAAGAAAATTCTGGTGAGTTTTCATTTTTATGTCTGAGAACATGCGCAAGAACCGGTTAATTCTATTCTATTTTCGAAACTTATGATGCCAAATAGTACTCTTTCTCTTCATTTGAACCTGCAGGACCAATATGAATAAACCGTAAACCAATGGACCTATTACCTAATGAACAAAATTTTAATTTGGACAAGTCTAGACAAAAATTTTATCACAGCTTGAAAGAGCATCACAAAATTAGTAATATTCCGACGTTTCATTGCGAAATGTTGTAAAATGCGGATAATATAGCCCTGCGAAGTTTGCCGTTTTTCAGTCATTTTGTATTACGCACGGGAAATTGATACCTTTTTTCAGAAAGCGGTATCAATTTCCCGTGCGTAATACAAAATGACTGAAAAACGGCAAACTTCGCAGTGCTATATTATATTATCCGCATTTTACAACATTTCGCAACGAAAGTACGGAAAATTACTAATTTTGTGATGCTCTTTCAAGCTGTGGTGAAATGTTTGTCTAGACTTGTCTAGATCAAAATTTTGTTCATTAGGTATTAAATAGGTCCATTAATGTCGCAGTTTGTTGGCATTGTTCTGCCAAAATTATGCATTGATGAGCGCAGGTGTATCATACACATAAACGCAGCGTGCGCATAAACAATGTAATGAATAATCTTTATAGTGTAATTTTGCCTAAGCTAGTAAATGTTTCCGCTCTCTTTTCTCAGGCAATGGCGGAGGAAGTGGAGGTAGCGTTTGGATTTCAACAAACTACTTCAAAGGGCATGGCAAAATAACTAGCCGTGGAGGTCTCGGTAACACATATGGTTCAGCATTAGGGGGTAGTGGCGCAGGGGGGCGAATTTCCGTACATATGAGAAAAGAAGACGAGTTCCGGGGTACATATTCCGTGTTTGGTGGATTGGGCGATGGTTCCAGGCATGGAGGACCCGGCACTGTTTACGTAGAGGAATCAAGAGATATATACATTCACAGTAGATTGTATATTGATAATAATAACGCCGTACCAGTTAAGGAGTTTGTGTTAAATGAAAGGAACCCTCGTGAAGATAATCATAAACGTGTTGATGGTGTGCTGACAGATTATCATTTTGATGAAGTTATGGTTCTTAATCAGGTTCGCAGCCAATTTTTCATAGACAAGATGAAGTTTGTTATAGCGATATGAAACACAAAAAATGTTTGACGTACTGTCCGTCGTTTTAGCATGCGTTGAGATGTTTTAAAATCACAAGGAGAAACGACTTATATATGTGGATTATGTATGTTATAGAATGATTAAACATTATTGAAGAGAAATTGAAGGCAAATTTGCAAATAAGTAAAATAAATTTATTGTTCATTAGAACATTTCTTGGATACCAAGAAGTTAAAGGACATCCATTTTATTTCTTTTAGGCCATATTTAAAATTAAAACACTGTCTCAAAATGAAACCTTCTATCCGTCTGTATATATTGGTTTGATGTATGGAGATGGCTCCCCACTTATTCATGTTCAATCTAACCAAACTTTCTATATGGAGTATCAGAAAGCTACCAGCAAGAGATCAAACCCCAAGGTCAACTTCCTTATAGAAGAACACGGGGACTTAATCACGGTCAACGATCTTCGTATTAGCGGAGACAAGACCCCGGCGATTGATCTACGTGGTACACTCAGGGGCGTTATCAAATTTACATTGAGTACCTCCAAAGTTTGCCTCGTCAGCAAAACTGGTTCGATCACCGTTGGAATACTTCGTGAGAACTCGTCGGCTGTCGCCATTAATCTCGGGATGTTGACTTTAGAATACAATGCAAATTTGGTGTTTACCGAGGGTGGAGAATTGGATATTGGGTATTTTACCATGCGTCAAAAAACACTGATGTTAGCAAAATATTTCTACATTAAATCTACAGCGATTGATATCGAAGGCGAAGGAAAGATAAGCACAACCGCTCGAAGTAAAGATCCAGGCCTGGGAACCGGGGATTATATTGAAGGGTCAGGTTCTGGCGGTGGTCACGGGGGGTATGGAGGGCTTCATGAAGATAAAGGAGGTGGTAATCCATATGGATCCTATAGTGAACCTACACATCCTGGGAGTAAGGGTGGAGGTATTCAAGGCGGGCGTGGTGGAAGTGTTATTAAGGTAGATTTTAATTCTCTATTTATTTACTTGAGTGTATAAGAACAACCAAGCTAATTAATAATTGAACAATCAAGCCACTCAGGCATGTGAGTGAAACGTGAGACAGCCAAGTCAGTGAATTTCTAATCATCATAAAGTCTTTAAACCTGTTCCTCCTCTTTGGGAAGAGCTGAATAGCCTCTTACACTCTGGAAAACGGTCGACTAGTAAACGACTAGTGATAACTTTGTTCTGTTTAGATCTTACTTCTTCTAAATGATATTTTGTGTCCATACTGTTTACGGGAAAGCAAACTGGTGATTATACTTTACAACGCAATTCCAAGTGTATCTACACGGAAAAAATTTAAAATGTTTCACCACAATGGGATCGAATCCGTGAGCCCAACGCTATGCCAACTGATCTCGAGGTCAGGACGATTGAACTACACGCCTATAAACGCTGAGCCCACTGTTTAACAGGATTGAACAATGTTTTGCTGCCCACGTTCTTCACACTAGCTTGTCAACAATGTTGAACAATATTGTTGAGCCTGAATCGGTGTAACAATATTGTTCAATATTGTTAACAACTGTGAACAATGTGGGCAGCAAAGCATTATTCAATCCTGTTTTCATCAATATTGCAACAATTAACGTGATTGTTTTTAGCCGTGTAGGTGATATTAGATCGTTTGAGCGACACAACGAAGTACGAAGACGTAGCTACTTTTTGCTCATCTGCCCGAATTATCTTGTTCACACCGAGTTCAATGCTTGTTGCTCACCTTGTCTTCCCGTTACATGTCTCGTTGTTTATGAATAATGACCCGAATCCTTACTTTGACACAAAAACAGCTAGACATGAATCTATAGCTTGTCTTCGTTGAAGAGTTGCATTATGTGCAAGATAATGCGCCAACGAACAAAAATTGTCAATACGTTTTCATCGTCGTAATTCGCTCTCTTGTTCAAACTCTCGAATGAGCGGCTTGCTAGGTGTGCCACCACTCGGAGTAGCATTGTAACCTAAAACAGTTTACACTGGTTCTGAACATGATATATTTCTTTCCTTTCATCGTTTTAATGACTAGATTGAATGTGGTCATTTTCTTCATCTTGACGGCGTGATTGACAACAATGGTGGAAACGCTTTAAGTCAAGGAAGCGGTGGTGGCAGTGGTGGAAGCATTTTTATCAAAACGTTGATGTTCTCCGGTCATGGAAGTATTCAAGTGAGTGGAGGAGATGGCCAGGGGAGCGGCGGCGGAGGCGCTGGAGGAAGATTGGCAGTCCATGTCTCGTGGTTAAGAGAATATGCAGGTAAGAAGGCCTTTATCCTTTGAAGCTTTAACTCATTTCCCACTAGACGAATTTGTTCGCGCGAAGCGAAGCGAAAAACAAATATTGGCAATGTGATTGGTCAGCGATTCACTGTTCACGATTCCGCAGAATTGTATTTAAGAAATGGCCGTTTTCAATGGTTAACGTTGTCGAAGTTTTTGGCGAGTTTCGTTGAATAACTGACAGAAATTATCTTAAATTGCGGACAACTAAAATTCAGAAGCATGAAATAGAACACATTAAATTCTACCTCTAGAACAGGCCTTAGCCACGAATTTAACTCCATGATAGTTGTAAGTATTAAGCAGTGAAACTAGCCAGCATGTTTCAATGAAGCTTTATCTATCTATCTTTTGCAACACAAGGTAAAAATATCAACATAAGAATCTTCCGTATGTTAGATGTATATTCACATGGTTATATTTATATTCTCCAGGTACGTATTTGGCTCTGGGCGGCCTTGGTAATCCTGCGGGTGCATGTGGAACAATTTATTACACAGATACGAACAAAGGACTCTCACATCGACCTTTCACTATTGATGAACATAATAATACCGTGTTTGGCGAAGGATTTACCAAACTTATCCTCGATAATCAAAACAGAAATAAACATATACCCACATTAATTGAAAAAGTAGTTGAAAAATATTACGAAGTTGACGAGTTAGAAATACGAAATCACGTGGTATTATGGATTCATGGAGAAAACGCTACGTTGGTAGCACATAAATTTTCTGGCGACAAAACAGGTTTGGTCCATTTACGCCCCACACAAAAGATGTTCGTTGAAGTAGTTGAATCCGAAAAAGGTTACTCAATAGCGCCTGTGAGCTACAAAATTGATTCACGTTCAGAAATTACGTTTCCCTCAACACTTACACTGCTCGGTACACGTTCCACGTTTGATGGCTTTATTATTGGTGTTCACCAACTTTACATCGCTGAGAGTGCTAGCGTCACCTTCGCGTCAACTTCACAAACTGGTATACGAGAGAATGGAACATTTACGTTTATTACAACCCCTGGAAATATTACGTTTGGTACTTTAATCGTGCAACGTGGTTCTCTGGTTTCCTTTTCCCGAATAAACGACACCTTGATTTTAACTGCAGGAATATTTCGTGTAAAGTACGAGGGAGAAGTGCGTATTAATCACGGGGACATTGATTCATCTTGGGCTTGGGTCGAGAGCCGTGGCAAGGTGCTTTTGGAAGGAACTGGGTATGGTAGTGAATCTGGACCTGGGAGAGGTACTACCTCATCACAGATTGGTACTGGAGCTGGTCATGGTGGTGAGGGTGGATCAAATGAGTATCGTACTGGGAGGTGGTATGGATCTATACTTAGACCTGATCATTTAGGTAGTGGTGGTGGAAATGGTCGTGGTACTGGAGGACGCGGAGGTGGGTCCTTACACTGGCGTATTGGACAGACTTTAGAACTGGATGGTCTCGTGTCAATGAAAGGAATCGATGGTACTGGAAGTGACTCTGGTGGAGGAAGTGGGGGAAGTTTATTGATAGAGTGTACAAATATAACTGGATATGGAACAGTGAATGTGATTGGAGGATCAGGCACCGGTCAAGGAGGAGGAGGTGCAGGTGGTAGAGTTGCAATCCATGTTCGATTTAAACACAAGTTCGCAGGGATATATGAAGCATATGGTGGATCAGGTGGAGTATATGGTGCTGCAGGGACGGTCTACGTTGAGGAGACTGCACGCGGTCCCCAGTATGCTGATATCAAATATAATATAGAAACAAACAGGACTGAAAGTGTGTCAACACACAGGTTCATTATGGTTGACAACTGGGATAAAAAAACTACATTCTCAACAAGTCTAGTGGAGTACAGTAGTGAATATTACGAGTTTGATGAAATGTTTTTAACGCGTTATGCAAATCTACAGATTGACCATCCTCTAAATTCCCCTAACGTTACTGTTGTCGCACATCGTTTTATTGGCGACGGAACTGGACGAGTTCACATGCGCAAAAATCAGACAATTTATGTGGAAGTTGTTGAGTCGATGACGAATGAAACTACAGCTCCATGTAGCTTTAAAATTGACCAAGGCGCTGAAATTGTGTTCCCCTCAAAGGTATACATTTACGGAACACGTACGGAAATTAACGGTAGGATTACGGGTATTCACGATCTCATTATTGCTCTTGGTGGTGTCATTGAATTTTCGTCCACAGCTCAGACCGCGATAGTTGAGAATAGAGAATATTTGAGGATTGATAAAAATGGCAACTTTTCCTTTGGCTCTGTTCTGGTAAAACGTGGTTCAAAAATTGTGTTCAAGAAGGTCAATAATACATTGATACTCAATAGTGGGTTGTTTAGAGTTAAGTATAAAGGCTTGATGATACTAAATCATGGTATTTTACGGAGTTCGTTTGCTTGGGTAGAAAGCCAAGGTGTATTGATGCTTGATGGTACGGGCTTTCCAGAGGAGCAAGGACCAGGTAAGGGAGTGACTAGAAATGGTGTTGCTGGTGGGGCAGGTCATGGCGGTGAAGGTGCTGGTGTTAGTGGTGGGTTGCCGTATGATTCTGTTTATGCACCCCATGTTCCTGGCAGTGGTGGTGGCATAGGTCAAGGTGTGGGTGGTGCTGGAGGAGGGAGCCTGTTATGGGAGGTTGGAAAATTCTTACAGATAAATGGTTTGATATCTGCGAATGGTTTAGACGGTAGTGGTGTTCATGCTGGTGGTGGGAGCGGTGGAAGTATTTTAATTAAGACCACAAACATGTCAGGACATGGTGAGATTGCAGTTGCCGGAGGGGAAGGTAAGGGCTCTGGTGGAGCAGGAGCAGGTGGACGTGTGGGTATACACTGTAGATGGAGGTATAAGTATGGCGGAAAATTGACGGATCATGGAGGACACAGTAATATTGGTGCTCCTGCAGGAACTATCTACATCGAGGAAAACTTTCGACCTTTACAGTACCGCCACCTTAAATACTTAAAGACCACGAATACGAGTGTATTGGCTGTTGATCATATGTACTTGCACGTGGACAATGAAGGCTTTGACGTTGAAGGCGCGACAATGATAATGGAGGAAGATACTACTTTGTATGAATTTGACGAAATGGAGCTGACAGGCTACAGCAGATTGTTAGTGTATCATCCTAATAACTCCATAGTTAACGTGACTGTTCATAGATTTATTGGTGACAAAACTGGACAGTTTCATATCCGAGACCGACAGAGAATATTTGTTGAGGTAGTAGAGTCTGTGAGCAACAAAACTGAAGCACCTTGCAGCTATAAGATTGACAATGGTGGAGAAATCATTCTGCCTTCGGAATTTCATGTTCATGGCACTCGAACAGTCATTGAAGGACGTATCACTGGAGTACATCGTCTGTATGTTTCAAGTGGCGCTGAGATTGACTTTACTTCTACTACTCAAACAGCTTTAGTTGAAAATTCATCCTATGTACTTTTATCTGAGCCGGGGAATTTATCTTTCGCTGTTGTTGTGGTGAAACGAAAAGGTGACGTAGAGTTCCGTCGGGTTACAGACTTCCTCCGATTGAATTGCGACGAGCTTAACGTAAAATACGAAGGCGAGATGTCTATTAATCATGGTGAGATATTCACGTCTTATGGCTGGCTCGATAGCAAAGGTGTAATAAATATGGACGGAGTTGGTTTCCCCGCAGAGAAGGGACCAGGGGCAGGCATGAATGTCGGGGGAACTGGAAGTGGAGCTGGGTATGGAGGTACTGGTGGACGTAACGGTGGAAAGGCGTATGGGTCAGTGTATACACCTATGCATTTGGGAAGTGGAGGAGGCAACAGCCAAGGAACGGGAGGTTCTGGGGGAGGATACCTTATCTGGAAAATCAGCAAATACCTAGAACTTAACGGTCTTCTTACAGCCAATGGCGAAGATGGGAATGGTGGAAATGCAGGTGGTGGTAGTGGTGGAAGTATTCTCATTGAATCAACCAACATGACAGGCCATGGTGAGATATCCGTTTTGGGTGGTAAAGGAAAGGGTGAAGGTGGTGGTGGTGCTGGAGGACGAGTAGGGATACATTGTCGTTGGAGGTACACCTATGGCGGCATGTTTTCTGATCATGGGGGGCAGGGGAATAAACGAGAACATGGCGCACCTGCTGGTACTATTTATAAAGAAGAAAATTTGAGACCTTTACAATACCGTGAACTGAAGTACAGCAAGAGTAGGAATACGACATACCTAGCTGTGGATCATACATATGTTCATATAGATAACGCTGGTTATGATGTCCCTGGAGCAACTTTGTTGAGGGAAGAGTACACTTCAGAATATGAGTTTGATGAGATGGAGTTGACCGGAAAGTCAAGATTGCTAGTCTATCATCCAGATAACGTGACGAATATAACTGTAATTGTACACAGGTAAATCATTTATCATTGCTGAACTATAGCCAACGATTATATGACATATGTATAAAAAATTCAATAATTCATGGTGAAAAGTGAAAGGAAATCACTACCATGTCGGTGGTTTTATATGTGATAAAAAAATTAAGTAAACCTTAGCTTTGGTTTTCTCGGCTTAGGCAACGTTGGTTTTCATTATTCAAATTACTTCGCCAATAAATTCATAAGGGGGGCGTTTTTTAAGCCATTTATTAATTTTTTTAAACATCTTAAATGAAAGATTAAAATCTTGCGGTACAGCGCCAGTCTCAGTATTTAAAATATAAACAACCCTCGTATAAACAATCAATCATTGTCGATTTATTTTTCTGTCAGAGAAGAAATGATACACTATTAATTAATGTACACGTTAAATGTTATATACTAAGCGATTGATTATCGAGCCTTGTCATGCCGTTCTATGCATACAATGAACAAAGTTGTATCGGTCTTTAAAAACGACTATGCGATAAACAGAAATGCGGTTCAAATTATTCAAGCTAGAGGATGTGTTCGCTAGAAACTTATTTATTTTGTTTTCCACCTCCTTAGGTTTATTGGTGATGGTACTGGACAGTTCCACATACGAAAACACCAAAAGATATATGTTGAATATGTTGAATCAGAGAATAACCGTACTGAAGCACCATGCAGTTACTTGATTGATCAGTTCGGAGAACTGGTTCTTCCGTACGAATTTCACGTACATGGTGTGCGGACGGAAATTCACGGCCTCATGACAGGCGTTCATCATCTCTTTGTAGAAGATAGCGGCCGCGTTCGAATATCGTCCACAGCGCAAACTGCTTTGCTGGAGAACCGCACTTATATTGACGTCACAGAACCAGGAAACACATCATTGGCTAATATCATTGTCAAGAAAGGTGGCATCCTCGATCTATTACGTAAGCATGACGTCATAATTCAAGTGACGTCAAGTCTATTTGAAATAAAATATGAAGGAAAAGTGCTCATGAATCATGGTGTGTTGTATACATCCGTTGGGGACCTGGAAACTAAAGGAGAGTTGGTGTTGGATGGAAAAGGCCGGGAGTCTGGCACTGGAATTGGTAAAGGTTATCGACATGGGAATTATGGCACAGGTGGAGGTCATGGTGGGCGTGGCGGTACAAATGGTGGTAATCAGGGACAAGCGTATGATTCAGTGTTGAAACCTCTGATGCTAGGAAGTGGTGGAGGGGCTGGACGATATGGAGCTGGTGGGCAAGGTTGGTACTCTAGTACTATAATATTTTTAATTATTATTATATTGTGTATAATAGATGACACACCTTCAAATGACTGACAAAATGAAGTATTTTGCCCGGTGTGAAGCCATGTACGAAGGTCATCTAACATAATATTTGTGTTGTTGAAGTCTGTTTTACGATAGAACGCCCCATATTTGCTGGTGTGTACATAAAACAAAAGCTTGCAAACTCAGCAAATGGCTATAGATAACAAACTATATGAATAAAAGGAAAGAACAGTAGATTGTTTTGTTTAGAAGTGAGCATTAGTGATGCCACGGAATGATGATTTCTATTTGTTTCCTCAAGGTGGCGGCACTCTCCGGTGGCAAGCACAAGACCACTTACACCTGGATGGCTTGATCACAGCTCAAGGTCAAAGTGGGAAATCCCAATCAGGAGGAGGTAGCGGAGGTACTGTTCTTATTGAAGCTTTAAACATGAGTGGACATGGTGAGATAAATGTCAATGGTGGTAATGGGATATCTGGGGGTGGTGGAGGATCTGGAGGACGTATTGGAATACACGTAGATTTCAAAAATAAGTATGGAGGGACGTACAGGGCAGTTGGAGGAGAAGCAAGCTCCAGGACTCTTGTTGGAGGCGCAGGGACTGTATATAAATATGAAAGCAGTCGTGGCCCGCAATATCGTGAAATAAAATACAATCCTAATGGAAACTTCACAGACTTCAAACCTGAACATTCAAAATTGAAGATCGATAACGAAGGACGAGATTCAGACTGGCCGGCCGTTGTTATGGAAAATGAAACTTTGTTCTACGAGCTTGATGAAATGCAAGTGGGAGGCAAGTCTCACGTGGTTTTCTATCATCCAAGAGGAGCACGGAATGTCACAGTAGTCGCGCACGAAGTGACTGGGGACAAGACTGGTGTCATAAAGATGACATCACGTCAAAGATTGTTTGTATTTATTGTTGAAAGTACCCATACGTACCTAGATGTTCCCTGTGGATTCTACATCAGCGAGTTCTCAGAAATTATATTTCCAACTGAAGTGATACTGCGAGGGGAAACTACGACCTTGCGAGGCCGCGTTACTGGCGTAGAGAGACTGGTAATAGAAAGAAATGGAAATATACTGGTCAGTGGGACGGCTCATACAGCTATACTTCCGGAGCATGCGCGATGGTATAATGATCGGCCATTTGATCCGTTCACCGCAGGTCAACTTGTCATTCCCGAAATGGTTGTGGCAAATGATGGTGTTCTCACTGTTGCCATGACACCATATCGTGCCGAGGTCATAGCGTCAGATATTGTCATCAAAAAAGGTAGGCATTGCCGGCCATAGACGCGAGTTTGTGAAGGAGTAGGAGAAAATAAACATGGTTAGGAAAGCCGCTTCAAAATTGTACAACACACCTTGACTGATGCGAAAGCGCTTGTGGACGGACAAATTTCTGTCTTCGTTTAACAAAAATTGAAAGATACCAAAGAGAATGAAGCTTAAGGCTGCTATGACTTATTGCTTCTTTACAAACTTACAAAACAAACCCATTGCAAAAACATAAACCATGAATGGCCCAAGCTCTGTGAGTCGTGTCGAGAAATAATGAAATAATGCACAGTTTTTATCACTTACTTGAACGTGTATTAATATTTTTTTTCCCTTTACTCCGGTCAACTTTCAGTTCAATCCTTTGAACAAGCCTTATATTGTGTATCATATGCATTCTAAGTAGTAGATGATACACAGTATAAGGCGGTCTCAACGGAACGAGCTGAAAATGGACGGGAGTAAAGCAAATGATATATTAAACAATAAATTCAACATACTGCTGCGGATTGATAGTGATTCAACGTTATTCCCTGAAAACTACAAGCAGATTGTTGTATTCCTAGCTTTTAGGCATCATTTCAACTTATTACTTTGTCTATTTCTTCTATACATCGACCACACACAGAGCTTGGGCAACCAATTCGTAAACGAAACCTTTCGTGGACCTTCCACATCAAATTATATTTCTATAACTATTTTTTAGTAATTACTTACAGGAGTACTCCCATGATATTTTTTAAATTTCAAAAGGCGGGCTGTTCAAAGTCAACACACGTGAAATGTTCTTTATTTTGGACCGAATTGTGATTGAAAGTGGTGGGAGTCTGGACGGAGACGGTGCTGGATATTCTGCAACTCAAGGGCCTGGTGCTGGCTCTGGATCTAAAGGTGGAAGTTATGGTTCCCTTGGTGGAAACGCTGGCACTGGAAAATACTACGGATCCCTCTATATACCGCGTTATCCAGGCAGCGGAGGTGGCGGTAGTGGTGGCGGTTCATGGATAAATGTGACAGCTGGTGGATTTGTAAGAGTCGATGGTACATTGAGGGTTAATGGTGCAACCGGATATGGTGCCGGAAGTGGTGGTAGTTTAACCATCACTACGTCGCTTCTGATTGGTTATGGGCAACTTGCATGTCATGGAGGTGAGAATTTCTTAAATGACATAAATGTGAGATTATTTGGCTAAATTAATAATTGTTTCAGGTTTTATTAAACAACTGGATTTAGTCAGTGGTAGACCATGATGTTTACGATGTTACTCTGAGTGTGCATCCACACCGGGCAAGCTGAAAAGTTCGCCTGACCACGGTGGGAATCGAACCCGCGACCTTCGGGATACTAGACCACTAGCTCTACAAACTGAGCTATGAGGTTAAGTCTGTTTGATTTGGTGTATTTCGGAACTGAGTCTAGTTCCGTCGGTATCGATGTATTACTCAGAGTAACACCACAAACATCATATTCACCCGAGTGCATAAAACCAACGCACACAAAAAAGTATCATGTCTTAGAATACATTGATATCGAAGGAATTAGTTCCGAAATATCACCAATTCGAACCGACTTGACTTCGTAGGTCAGTTAGTAGAGCCTTGGACTGGTTTCCCAAAGGTCGCGTGTTCGATTCCCACCGTGGATGCATGCTCAGAGTAACATCACAAACATATTCACCTGAGGACATAACACCAACATACACAAAAATTATCATGGTAGACTATATTTTCTCAAGTAAAAATGAGCCACTTTTCCGTGACCTTGAACGTTGTTCAACTTAAAGAGCATGTAAAGTCCGTTCTGCATGTCCGTTCTGCGCAGGCCTACATTCCAATGGTCGGGACCCGACCATTGCCGACCATTGGAATGTTATTAATATTTCGCAACTTTCGAACTTTCTTGAATTGAATCTCTAGCCTGTATTCATTTATAAGCATAGCGAACCAGAAGAGTGTTAAAAATTCACTATAATATATATCTAATCATATTTTACAACTAATAGCACTGAGTTCAAAATGTAAACAAAGCCTTTGTTTACATTACGGACTTTACATGGCCTTCAAGTAAATAATGGTAATTGAACTGAGTGGAGTGCAATTTGGACTGAAATCAAACGCGTGATTTCAGTCCAAAATTGCACGACACGAAGTTCAATTTCCACTTTATTATATTCATTTTGAAATCTTAAACATTTTTGTAAACCGGAAACGTTTTTGTTTGCAAAAGACACACCTCCGGTACCTCCCTGAGTGCTGTAGCATAGCAACAATATAAAGCGAACAAGATGAGGTTTTGTAATTATATAGTTTATACGTTCAAAAATCTAAATTGTTAAAGAAATGAAGACATTTATAAAGAATAAGAGACAACACAAGTAAGTTTAAAGATATTGTAGGTTTTACGAGTGATTTGAAAGAGTTTTGGTGCAGTTTTGTGCATTTAAAACTGGAAATACGATAGGCGAATTTACCTTTGTTTTCCCTGATTTAAATTTGCTTTTGTTGGCGTTTTGACCATATTTGATAGAAGATTATGTTACTATTTGTGAAATTTGCAATTCTTTGATAGTTTACTTTAGCTATCCATATTAGTTTGTTTTTATGTGCAAAAAATTGCTTAATTTTAAATCATATTCATGACATATATGTAATTTTTTTGTTTTTGTGCTTATTTGCCATAACACATTTTTGTTAAATTTGATTGGCTGTTTGAATCCTATGATTAAATATGATTGGTTAGCTGAAGTCAGCACTCTAATGTGATTGGTTCACAGCAGTGCGATTTCAGGACGAATCGCAGTGCGATTCGTGCTGAAATCGCACTCCTGTGAACCAATCAGATTGCAGGAAACACCATTGATTTCAAAATGAATATAATAAAGTCTGTAATGCATATTTACAAAGATGATGAAAGACTCGACTGTTGTAAGTTAAGAAGAAGCTTGAACTTTGCTGAATAGGCAAATGTACTAATGTTACTTGTTTCTCATTCAACCTCATTCAAAACTTTTGTATGCAGGATCTTCAAGCACTGGAGGTGGTTCTGGTGGCCGTATTGGTATTTATCTCTCTCAACCATTTGATTTCCGAGGAGCTATCGCCGCTCTTGGTGGCGCTGGGTCACCTTCTGGAGGGCCTGGAACGACATACATTGAAGTCAGGGATGGGGTTTCAGTACAGAGGGTCCTAAGAATAGATGGAAGAAATAGAGAAGAAACTGCGGGACTAAAGGTGTTCTTGGATGAACTTGGTGGATATTATCATGTGTTTGATGAGATAAAACTAACAAGGAAAGCATTTGTATCTTTACAACAAGTACGTTGACCACATTTATAGTTCTATATATTCGAACTATTAGTGAAGATATTATCGAAGGGATAACTGTGTTTTATTAGCATCACTTCATGAGACACAAAGCCATGTTCTTAGCAACTAATTTGAAACGTAGGCAAACTGGGACTTTTTTCGATCAAGGGATTAATTTTTTCTGCTATATTTTCTTCAGATATCTAACAGCGTACCTGAAATAAAAGTTCGCTACTTCTCTGGTGATGGAACTGGAATTTTCGACGTTATTTCCGGTACACGTGTTTATACTCATGAAGACACAGTACGCATGCGCACGATGGTAAATTATGTCATCAGGAAAGGAGGTGAGCTAGTACTACCCGAGCTTACAGAACTAGCAGCAAAACGCTCGCCCTGTTTGGAAATACATGGGGGTGCCTACGGTATAGGAGAGTTGCGGCTGTACGCTTCAAGTCATGCGCAGTTACATATAAGTGGTCATTCAGGCTGCTTCAATTGTTCAAGCAAATACACCGGAACGGGACTGGATCGGAAGTACTGGTTTAAAAAGATAACTGTAAAGGCTAATGGAAAATTTGAAGTCATATCCGCTGTACAGAATGTCGACAGAGCAGTGCAGGTACATACTGGCACTGTTGCCGTGGAATATAACGGAGTGGTAACAAGTGATGCAATTGAAATGTTTTCAAAATACATCAAAGTTGATCATGACGCCAAATTCCATAGTTCTGGCCGAGCTACAGCAACTGGCCTGGGCCCTGGTGCAAGTTGTGGGGGGATTGGAGGTGGCGCCGGGCATGGTGGGGGTGGAGGACGCGGAGCAGGTTGCTCCTGTGGGCCACGTAATGATGCCTCAGGTAAGCCCGTTTTTGGTCTGATAATTTAAATAATACGTCGGTTACCGAAAAGCAGACACACACAATTCTAATGCTCCAGTAAAATAAAATGCTAATAACAGAACATCAGCAGTCTGGGAGAAACATAACAGTGGTTTGATGAAGTGCGTCTGTACACCAACCGCGGCGTCGCTATGGACATCGTCTTATTCACACAAACACAGACGGCTTCCCATTGACTGCCGTGAGGACGTTTTAAGCCAGCTCATCTTCATAATTACTCTTGTGTTAGACAGAGTAAAATTGAGTTAAATACAGAAAACAAAGCATCATAGCAACTATTTATCACTTATTTACTGAGACCGAGGGAAACAGTGTGTTTTGTGGACCCGAGACCGTCGATATGTGTCGAGGGAAACTTCGACGGTCGAGGGTCCACAAAACACACTGCTTTCCCGAGGTCTCAGTAAATACAGTAAGTGTTTTATTATATATCAATATAGTCAAAGAAACAACAAATTAAAGAACAAATGAACGTAAATACATGAAATATTTTATTGTTAAAACGTTATATTAAACACTGGCTACACTGCAGTTACTTAAAGCGAAAGTTTTAATTACGTACTAGGCATGTCCAAAGGTCGCATCTTCACGTGATGGCGCACGTGATTTTTTTGTTATTCGCCGGTCGATAACGTATTATCTCCCTCTCGCGCTGTTGCGAGGGAGACAGCCTAATTTCGTCACTCTCACGTGATATGCTCTCAACCAATAAAACACGAGAAAAATGCGACTTTGACTATTGATATATAATAATATTAATTATTTGACGCGATCTATTCATCATCTTTTATTTAAAATTTATTATTTGATTTTTTCCCCAATATTAATCATCTTCTCGTCCCAGGTGGTAGAAAATATGGTGAAGTGTGTAATCCAGTACTTTCTGGCAGCAGCGGTGGCAGTTCCGGTGGTAAAGGTGGTGGTGTCATTCGTCTGTTTAGCAGCCACCTGGTGGATCACGAGGGACTCTTGGTGTCAAATGGAGTTAATGGTGGTGGAAGTGGCGGTGGTGGAAGCGGGGGAAGTGTATGGATAGATGGCGAAGCGATAGATGGTCATGGATTAATGCAAGTAGCAGGTGGTAGTGGTGGTTACAGAAACAGGTATCCTGCATGCAATTATTACCATGGCGGAGGAGCTGGGGGGTACATTCGAGCACAGTCTCCCAGGTACATAAACCGAGGAATACTCTCTAATTTAAAGAACATCAATCCGTCAGGACACAGGACAGCTGTTGAAGGCGGTAGTGCACCTGGAAGTGGAGCTGTACGTGGTGACGATGGACAGATCTGCTTTTCTGGTAACGAGTGCAGTGGACATGGGGTATGGTCAAGCACAGGGTGTACATGTGGTCACAATTATCATGGTGTGAGTTGTTCGTACCACTGTGATCCTGGTGTTACGTGTTTAGGTCATGGTCAGTGTACGGAGTCAGGAGGTTGTAGGTGTAACAGTGGCTATGTAGGGTATCGATGTGAGCATCTTTGTGATCCCCAACGTGACTGCAGTGGTAATGGTATATGCGACAACTTAGGAAAATGTGTTTGTGACTCCTGCTATAGTGGGGGGAAATGTCAGTACTTATGCTCAGGCAAAGGCACTTGTGAGAATAGTGTGTGTAAGTGTGATAGCTGTTATTCAGGGAAATTTTGTCAAAGCGAGTGTAGTGAAAACGGGCAGTGTCTTAATGGAACATGTAAATGTGAGGGGTATTGGCAAGGAACACATTGCGAGCGCGGGGGGTGTCCAGGTACTCCTGTATGCTCAGGAAATGGTTTATGTAACAGTGCATTACAGAAATGTTATTGCAATCCAGGATGGGAAGGTATTGACTGTAGTCAACTTGATTGTCCTGGTGAACCTAACTGTAACTCACGTGGCGTGTGTGTTCCATATCCAGAGGGTGCTAAATGCGTTAATTGCTCGCGAGGTTGGATGGGACCTGCGTGTGATGAACCATGTACACATGGAATGCAGTTTCCTATGAACAGCGGTGTATGTCAATGTGATCCATGTTACGGAGGAAAGGGGTGTACGAGCTTATGTCTAGGACGAGGAGTCTGCCAATCAAATACATCGTGTTTCTGTGACCCAGATGTAGGCTGGCGAGGTGACGTGTGTGAAATACCAGGATGCCCAGGAATAGATAAGGACTGCAGTGGTCACGGGGACTGTAATGCAGCACGTCATCAGTGTTCTTGTTATGAAGGTTGGACAGGCAAGGCGTGTGATATTCCAGACTGTGCTGGGGCACCTAACTGCTTTCAACGAGGTTTTTGTAATCCGTCACTCGATGTCCCTCGATGTGAAAACTGCACTCGAGGCTTTATGGGACCTGCCTGTAATGATCCCTGCACATTTGGTCTACAGATACCAATGGACAGCGGCAATTGTGTATGCTTCCATGGTTACAGTGGCGTTGGCTGCGACAGTGAGTGTTCAGAACATGGTAAGGTCAATAATGGTACATGCGAGTGTGATGTAGGGTGGAGAGGAGGTTTATGTGACATAATGGGATGTCCAGGGATTAATGAAGATTGCTCAGGACATGGAAGTTGTAACGGAGCTATACACAAGTGCACTTGTTATAATGGCTGGTCAGGGGAAGGTTAGTTTTTATCATTATCTTTTATTGTATTATTTGTTTTCGTTTGGTTAGCTCCAATCTTTGAAATTAATATTTCTTCTCTGGTTATATTAAGTTTATTTCATTCACGATATGTAACAAGTTCAAAAAAAATGATTTTTCTGGCCGTCTCGTAATACTGTCTGTCTAGCTTCATGCTAATAATGCTCATAAAAATTCCTTTAGATAAATAATTTTCAAGCTCTATCATATCGAGAATGAAGTAAATTATGAAGAAAGGGTGTTTTAGAGATAATTTCTTCCTTAGGTTGCGAAATACCAGATTGTCCTGGTTCTCCAAACTGCTTCAATCGAGGTTACTGTAACAGTTCTGTAAGCCCACCAGTATGTCAGAACTGCACAGCGGGTTGGATGGGACCAGCATGTAATGATCCATGTGTTCACGGTGTTCAACGACCTATGGATAGCGGTAACTGTGTCTGTGATCCCGGCTGGGCTGGCTTAGGTTGCGACAGTGAATGCTCAGGACATGGCTGGGTTATTCAAGGATCATGTAGGTGCGATATAGGATGGCAAGGTACATTATGTGATAATCCAGGTTGTCCAGGAATTGATGAGGATTGCAGTGGTCATGGAGAATGTAACAGCGCACTACATGAGTGTACATGTGACGCCGGATGGACTGGGGTTGGATGTGAGATCCCTGATTGTCCTGGAAATCCCGACTGTCTGGACAGAGGTAGGATGCCATTCTCGTACCCAGAGCCCTTCTTACGCGCGGTGCGACGAGGGGCTCTGGCCAAATCCATAACCGGATACCATAAAAACATGGTAAGAAAACAATGTCCGGTGTTAGAACTAGCCAATCAGATGCCAGTTCGGAATATGGATTTGGCCAGAGCCCCTCGTCGTACCGCGCGAAGAAGGGCTCTGGCTACGAGAATGAGGTAGGATGCCAGCTAGCGACCAGTATGTAATACTTGTTTTTACGACGTCAAAACGACAAAACAGTACAAAAGTTCCTGCTGTTTTGTTTGCAGTAGTTTGTTTTGCCTGTGCTGGGTTTTTTCCAATCTGTATTAACCAGGAGTATATATAGTTTAACAAAATGCTACTCATTCATATTCCTTTGTACTTTTTACAAACAAAACTATCAATGAACTTGCTATCATGGGATGAACTGTACAATACACCAAGTACTTGCAGCTTAACCAAACCAAACTGATACTAAAGAACACAGCATGTACATCCAGCTACTATAAATCTACGAACAAAACGACGAAAAATTTACGTGTGCGAAGAAACCGATATATTTTTAATTGTTTGTTTAACCTCTCTAGGTTTCTGTAATGCGACGTTCAACCCACCACGATGCACGAACTGTAGCCTGGGATGGATGGGGGCTGATTGTGGATACCCGTGTACACATGGAAAGCAAGAACCAATGGACAGCGGTGTTTGCATGTGTGATGCATGTTATGTTGGTAAGGCCTTTTGGACTGCGCTTACCTCGTCATGTGTTTAGATATGTATTTAGTTATGTATTTAATTATGTATTTAACAGTTATAGTGAGTGGAATAACATCTTGTTTTTCTCTACTATTAGCAGGATATTAGCTAATGTCCTTCTAGTGGAGAACCAATCAGATTGCAGAATACCTCATATCCAGACCTTGTGTATATAATAATTAGTAATATTTATGTCGAAAACAGTACTTGCAATACTCGCTTCCGGAAGGTACGTCACCTTGCTTCATTTTCGTGATTGAGACTTGGGGCCTTGGGCTTTAACTGATGTCAGATATACGAAAACGAGCGCCATAGCCAAAGTGACGTACTTTCCGGAAGGGTGTATTGAAGTAGAAAAGCTGCATCAAAAATCAACGTTTCGGTCGAGCCATCTGAAGGAGACTAGAATATTTGAACATTATTCCTTAAATTTGTTTCACATAATTCAAGAAGAACAACTCAACACTTTTTTGAAGAATAGCATCACCACTTCCAAGTTTGTGTAACAGGAGATGCCATATAAGGTGCCGCTACACATTTCCCCAACTTCTTGTCACGTCTAGTTCAGTCCTAAATTTTCCATGTTTTTTCAAGGCCTTGGTTGTACTCAAGAATGTTCAGATCATGGAAAATGTCAAAATGGATCTTGTCTTTGTGATGAACTTAGTGGATGGCGAGGATCTCTGTGTGAAGTACCAGGATGCCCAGGGATAGCAGAGGATTGTAGTGGACATGGTAGCTGTAACAGTGCTGACAAAACATGTATATGTGATCCAGGTTAGTAGTCCGTTGGCCTTTGATAAAAGGCTGTTGGCCTTTGATAAAAGACCTGGGAGCTGGTATTAAAACGTTGCCTCTTAGTAATCATCACGGGCACGTCGGGCAGCCTAATGTTCAAAGAGAGTACGTACAGTATCTTAATATAAAGTAAGTTCCATTCTTTCATATATTTACCATCAAAATATGTACTTTATTTGGATTTTCTTTGGTACTATATTTTATGAAGTTATCAACGGGTTTTTTTCTCACAAATGCTTCAAATTAAACATAATTCGTTATTAATTTTAATACCCAAATTCAAAGTGTCCGATCGGAAAGATAAGTTTGTGCCACGTGAGTGTGAAATTTGTCATCAAATCGCGCCTTACGTCATCGTATTTGACGTAAGCGGGTGACTTGAATCGTATCACATGGCGATTTGATCATACCACCCGGGTGATCCGCGTAAACCACGTGCGGCGATCACGTAAACAAGATGACCAACAAAATATACTAAGGAGTGATGAAAACATCGGGATTATTTTTTAAATTTTGAAGCAAATTTTGAAAAATGTTATCATCAATATTTCAAACGATATGTGATTCGAAAGAAAAGCGACGATACTTGCGTTAATCCAAAAATAAAACATCGAGACCCTCCACTCGGGAGATTCGACGAAATATTACCCTCGAAATATCACTTCGGAGTTCGGGTAATATTTCGCCGAACCCCCCTCGCTGCAGGTCTATAAATGATAAATATAATAGGAAGCTAGTCTCGGCTTTCATTTCTAGCTCGATTACTGAGAAATGATCGACGATGAGCTTGAGAGTTTTGAGTGGCTGTTCCGTAATTCACACAACGTTTGATATTTGTGTTTCTGTTCTGCAGCAGTTCTTTTATTTCTTCAGGTTGGACAGGCATTGGATGTCATGTGCCTGACTGTCCTGGAACTCCTAACTGCTTCGGGCGTGGATTCTGCAACAGTACTGATCGTGAAACTCCAGAATGCACTGACTGTTCCATGGGATGGATGGGTCCTGCATGTAATGACCCTTGCTTACATGGGCGACCTGTGGACGACATCTGTGATTGTGACCCGTGCTACACAGGTAATGGGTGCCAGCTGGAATGTTCTGGTCGGGGTTCTTGCGTACAAGGAGAATGTGTATGCCATTCAAATAACGAAGTAGGATGGCAAGGGATCAACTGTGAACTTGATGGATGTCCAGGAGTAGATGGGAACTGTAATGGTAATGGTCTGTGTAATACTAATACCCGACAATGCGAGTGTGATCCGTTGTGGACTGGACCCGACTGTGGCATAGCTAATTGTGCAGGAGACCCACCTTGTTCAGGTCATGGTAGCTGTGATGCGGCCTCATTCCCACGCCGGTGTAACTGTGATAGAGACTGGGCAGGGGAGGCTTGTGATGTTCCTTGTGTCCACGGAATAAATTATGGCAATGCTTCGGGATGTATCTGTGACACGTGTTACCATGGTATCGGATGCCAATGGTTCTGTTCTGGACATGGCCATTGTGAGCATGGGCAGTGTGTATGTAATGCACGCCTTGGATATAAAGGGGTATTGTGTGATGTACCAGGATGTCCTGGATGGCCGGAGGATTGCAGTGGTCATGGTACATGTAACCTTGCAACGAAGCAATGTTCATGTGACCCAGGATGGCTTGGACCATCATGCAGCTGGACTGACTGTCCTGGAACTCCAGACTGTAACGACAATGGAATCTGTGTTCCTCCACGAGGTGAGAAATCCCTTTTTCAAAAGTAGAATAACCTTCGAAAAGGTTGTAAATAAATTTAGTCAAGTAGAGCAAGTCTGATAGCCAATAAGAATGCACTCTTCACGACGATGGAACGTCGAAGTTACGAAGCTGAATTAATTAAAGGATGGTGAGAACCGCCTACCAAGGTGTTCCTGAACGGTTGCTAACCGTTCGAAACAACTACATTTATATAGTTTTGTATCTGTGAAATTTTATTGGTTTTGATATCACTTCACGAAATTTGATATTATTCCATGCGAAACTGTCCCTGACTTGCTGCACAGAATAGAGACAACATAAATATAGTCTCTAATTTGTGCTCGAGTTCTCCGTCAAGTGAACCAGAAGTTCATTTCTTGGCACGACAGAAACAAAATAATTTTCATCAACTGAGCAAATTCGTCGTTAAAAAGGTACATTTATCTTATTTTTAACCTATGTAAAGGTTTTTTCTTGCGGCCATTATTGGTTTCTTTTAATTGCAACTTTTATAAATTTGTCATATTTTTTGAAGGTTAAATAAAGTGTTGTTATTATTGTTTCAGAAAACAGTGTGAATGCTCAAGGAACATGTAACTGTTCCAAAGGCTGGATGGGCGTGGCCTGTCAACATCGTTGCATCCATGGCAATCCCTCTGACGACTATATCTGTGAATGTGAGCCTTGTTACAATGGTCTAGATTGTTCAGCACTTTGCTCAAACAAGAGCAGTCTCTGTGTCAAGGGCGAGTGTGATTGTGGATTTGAGGGATGGCGAGGAAAGTTTTGTGAAAGAAGAGGATGTCCAGGTGTAAATAAGGATTGCTCGGGACATGGCACATGTTTCGCGGATTCACAGACCTGTGTATGTGATTCTGGCTGGAGAGGTGAGTGGCATATTATACTGATCAGTAGCTATCATTGTTTATTTATCATACCATAAATATTTTAAGCAAAAAGAAGATAAAAAAAAAAGCGTAAAAATGTAATATTTTACAATTATTGCATTTTCCCCAAAACCTTCCTTTCCGGTCGACAAACATCTCGTTATCGAAAAATGACGCTAGTTTCTTTAGTCGTAACGCCTTGCTTTCTGGCTAAGTTTGCAAACCAGAAAACAATACATTTCTCCGACAAATAAATTACCATTGGAAAACAATATTCGTTTATTGAATTTGTTCAATTTTTGCCCGCTGATAGGCAAATTTTGTCCTCCCAAGAATGTTTTCAAATGTTGGAAGACCGGAAAACATTCGAGGAAACAAACTTTGAAGTTTGTCTTTAAATTTTTGTTTCCATGTAATAAAGTTCCAATGGTAGATAAACTACGAAACATTTGACGACATTGGAGTTAATTTTGAAGAGCCGCTACAGTGTTTGCCAGTTTTTCTAGAGCTTAATTTGTCGACCTCTTCTTATATCTCCCAATCAGGTCTCGGATGTCAAAACTCAGATTGTCCTGGGGAACCAGATTGTAACGGAAGAGGCCGATGTGTGATTGATGAAACCGCTGGTCCAATATGTGTTGACTGTGAACAAGGTTGGATAGGGCGAGCCTGCGAGATTCGTTGTCAGCATGGCTCCGCATCAGAAGAAAACCCGGATGTATGTACATGTGATTCTTGTTATACTGGCTTTAATTGCGACCAGTTGTGTTCAGGACGAGTGAACGCTACATGTCTGGATAAAAAGTGTGTTTGTGGATTTGAAGGATGGAGAGGGGATCTGTGTGATGTACCTGGTAAGCGAACAGTGATCTGTACATAACTGGAGTAATTAGTATCCTTGATATGAATATTTTCCACGGACTCAGATTTCTTTTATATTTCTGCAAAATATAATCATGCTTAAATGTTCTCACGTTAGTTCTTCATATATGGCATCACTTTATGCGAGCTTACTTTCAGAAACAATGATATTTATATTTACATGTACATGATATATGCTTTAATTTACATGAAACACGTGGTTAAGCCATAATAAAGTCATAATACAATACATAACATTAGGTCCGATTTTCATTTCATACAATTAAATTATATATATATATACTCTTTTGCAATCAACAAAGGCAGATTTGCATACAGCACAGGAGATGCAGAGTATTTCGTATTGGTGACAATCACTTGGCCGGGACTAAATGACAAGCAAGGTTAGATTGTATAAAAAACCCATTCAATATTAATTTTGTTTATTGTTTAGGCTGTCCTGGATTAAGTAATATCGACTGCTCTGGTCACGGGACTTGTTTCAGCGTGCAGCGTGTTTGTCAGTGTAATAGCGGATGGATAGGATCAGGTTGTCATATACCTGTATGTCCCGGCTTACCACAGTGTAGTGGTCATGGCAAGTGTGTTGTGACCTCAGATATCCCTGCATGTACCTGTGATGACGGCTGGATGGACGATGCATGTCAAACTAAATGTCTCAACGGAACAGTGGTGAAAACAGTGGATAATGAGGAGTATTGTGAGTGTAAAGATTGTTTCGGTGGGATAAGCTGTGACGTAGAGTGCTCAGGAAGAGGAATTTGTCTGAACAGTACCTGCGACTGTGGATTTGATGGATGGCGAGGGGCAACATGTGATGTGCTAAGATGTCCAGGGTGGGGAAGTGATTGCAGTGGACACGGAGTGTGTATCCCTTCATTAAGACAATGTACGTGCAACCCAGGCTGGAAAAGCGTGGGCTGTCAGATTCCGCATTGCGCCGGAGGAGGAAACTGTAGTAACCATGGTACGTGTGATGGAGAGAAATATGATCCTCCGGTGTGTACGTCCTGCGACCACACCTACTTTGGTAAAGGATGCGAGCGACGGTGTTTTAACGGAAGTGTGGTTACGATTACTGGCGATACGTCTGCGACAAATGACGAAGACTGTCGATGTGATAAATGCTACAGTGGCGTGGACTGCGGTCAGGAGTGCAGTGGTCATGGTCAGTGTGAAAATGGAACATGCAAGTGTGATGTAGGATGGCGCGGTGACACGTGTGGCAGGATAGGATGTCCAGGGATAGGGCAGGATTGTAGTGGGCACGGAAGATGTCTAAGTTTGAATCAAGAATGTCATTGTGATAAGGGATGGAAGGGGATCGGTTGTGAAAACCCTGATTGTCCCGGAGTCCCTGATTGTAATGGTAAGGGTACATGTGATGGAAGTGTCGAACCACCGCGGTGTGTAAACTGTACTGACAACACCATGGGTAGATCGTGTGAGTTACCTTGTATCCATGGCAATGAAGATCCGCCTAACAGTGCTATATGTAAATGTGATTCTTGCTACTCAGGCCAAGCCTGCGATCTTACGTGTTCAGCGCACGGCACATGCGCAAACAACAGTTGTGTGTGTCAAGAAGGGTGGCGAAGCGATCTTTGTGAACTCTCGGATTGTCCTGGAGATCCTGATTGTTTCCAGCGTGGTGTGTGTATACGGGCATCCGAAAATGTTCTACCTGAATGTCTCTGTAATCAAGGTTTTGGTGGACCAGATTGTAGTAAGTTACTCTGTCCTGGGAATCCTCCCTGTAACAACCGCGGGAACTGTGTACTAAATAAAGGTGGCCGTGTACCTCACTGCGCATGCCAACATAATTTCGTAGGACAGGCCTGTGAACAATGTGCCCAGCGGTATACAGGAGCAAATTGCGAGGACTGTGTGAACGGATTTATTGGTTGGCCTATCGGATGCAATGTCAGTTGTTTCCATGGAAATGCATCTGGTGTGAGACAAGATAATTGTGTGTGTCACAATGACAGCAGACTTGGTTACTGGAGAGGCAAAGATTGCGCAATATGTCAAGAGGGCTGGGACCAACCTGGATGTACAAGCTGTGATCTAACACATGTTGGAGAGAGTTGTGATATTTTATGTTATACTGAGCATGCGCAATACGGAGATCCGAGGGATGCAGGTACTGAAAAATTACCAGTAATACCTACATTAAGTTGCATCATAAGCCAATACCATGATTATATCTTGGTTTGGTTTGGCTACGACAATAAAAATCCTCACAATGTATACCTCGATCCTGGATCTCAAAACTTCTTCAGTGCTCCCACGCCATCTATAGAACCTGGGGGAGAGTTAGGATTTCTGGAAATTTCGTCAAGCATCACAGTGAACACGTTCCCGGTGGTTGAGCAAGATCTTGGTCAGCCAAGAAAGTTTCTACCTGGAGAATACAAGAAAGTTTTTGCAGTGAAGTAAGTTTTGGCCTAATACGAATAATATATGTTGGGTACGCAATATTTCGCAAAGAGCACGTAATAGTGTTGGGAAAACTAATGAGGGAGGAGACTGGCTTACTTTCAAATATTGCATAATTGCGTCGTTTTCTAAAGAGTAACCGCGATAGACTCTTTATATGAAGCAGTCTGTATTGTGTAATTCCCGTAAATATTCTTGGGTGTTCACAACGGCAGAACCAGGCAGAAATCATAATCGTTATGATGAAAACCAATGCCCAGCATAATGCATGCAAAACCGTCATAATGTACGTTAAAAATTTGAAAATATGTTAAAGGATACAGTTCGATCTGAACTTCTTATACAGGAAAATACATTCCTATAGGCACTCTTTAGTTTTGTGGGCTTTTTTAACCAGGCAGTGCATTCAATGACCTAAGTTACTTAGTATGTAAGCTGTTTTTGTTATCATTACAGGTTGAAGAAGACAGTTCCCGTTGTGTGGGCATTGGAGTATCCATTATCTAACACAAGACATTTTGTTAAATATGATCCCAGTAATGTACAATATCCAACGTGTTCTGGAATTGAGAACTCAACACAAATAGTAAGTAATTGCGTGACATCATTTATTGATAAATGCAAGGCAAATTTAATAAATAGATTTATTAGAAGTAAATGTTTGGAACACTACTGAAAACCTGACATAGACAATATATGTACTATGTACAATATGAGCGGTCGTGTTGTATGACCGTGTTGTATGGGATATACAAACTCTAGACGATGGTGAGAATTTCTACATTCCATACAAGTTATACAACACATACGCGAATGTTGTAAATGGCTTGTAGAATGTTTTGATGAGAACATTCGTATTCTTTAATAATTTAAAATAAATGAATGATATTTGGTGAGAAAATTAAAATCAGCATTCTTCACGCTCATGATTTATTTTGTGTTTCTTAAATTATTAATGAGTTTCGTAATAATCGAACGGCCCGAAGCATGACAGTATATTTACGAATACATGTGAACAAAATCGCTGTAAACTACCACCACAACGTTATAAAGAGAGTATTTTGTAGGCTTACTAATTTTGACCTTGAAGTCGACCTTGGAACGCCAAATATTTTGTGCAAAATGTTTGAACGTTAATAAAGCGAACGTTAATAAAGCGAATTGTTTTGTCGTTACGTTGTCAAGGCGGTGGCCATGTTGAAAAGTAAATAAATTTAAATTGCCTGAATGAAAAGGCGTTGCTATCAGAGTGCTTGCTATACTCTTGTCAGCAACAGTTTTAAAACAACCTGGAAAATAACCAGTTTGTGAACATTTTCCATTTCCGTATAATTTTAGCAACAATCTTCTCGAATCATTGCCTAACGCCTTTTTTGTTTCTATATAATACTTTTTAAAATTGTTTACTTTCATAGACGTCTTGGATCTGTATTCTTTATGCTCATATATTCTCCATGCACAATACTTGTCAATAAAAAAAATCCTGTTAATTGGCCATTTGCGTAATAGACTAAATTTTGATCTAAACAGGTCTAGACAAAAATTTCATCACAGTTTGAAAGAGCATCACAAAATTAGTAATATTCCAAAGTTTCGTTGCGAAATGTTGTAAAATGCGGATAATATAGCCTTTCGAAATTTGCAAGTTTCAGTCACAAACTTTGCAAGGCTATATTATCCGCATTTTACAACCAGTTTCGCAACGAAACTTTGGAATATTACTAATTTTGTGATGCTCTTTCAAGCTGTGATGAAATTTTTGTCTAGATCAAAATTTTGTCTATTACGCAAGTGGTCAATTGAACTATAATAAACACATCTCGTTCAAAGTCTGTCAAACCCTTGCAAATGGCCTAGACAACATTAAAAAAAGCCTTGACAACAATATATAATGCCAACGTTTTGATACACTATATAGACGAGAAATCTTTACGTTTGAGCGTTTAAACATTTCGACCTATTTGGCATTCCCAAGTCGAGTCAAAATCGCAAAAAATGTTGATTTGACTCTAAACTGTCCAAATGAATCGAAACGTAAAAAGTAGAGCAGTGTCAAATTGTGAGTTTACCTAAGATAATGTGTGTCTATTTCTTTTTTAATAGGAGATCAAACAGTGTTTATGCCGTAATGGTTTCTGGGATAGCAGTTGTGACAAAGAATGTCCAGGTGGAGCCTCGTCTCCATGCAATGGTCACGGGGTCTGCAACAAAACAACTGGAATATGTGTCTGCGAACCTAGATGGCGCGGAAACGTGAATTGCTCTGGTTGCACCCCTGGGTGGACTGGTGACGATTGTTCAGTTATCATCACCAGGACTTCTAACTTCAGCGCGGTCTGCACAGGCTATGGAGATGTTATAACACTTGACGGAGTTGGCTATAGTGTTGAGGGAACTGGCGAGTATATCATGTTTTCCTCAGCTGATCTGGAAGTTCAAATCAACATCGTTCCCTGCTATCAATCTGAAAGGTGTATCAACGCTGTTGCTATGGAATTAATGACGTCAGTGATATCGATTCACGCACCATACCAAAATGGTGGTGACTCAACGTTATGGATTGACAAAGTACAGTCATTCTCTCTCAAAACATTGTTTAATTCAGATCAAAATACTTTCACCCTGGAAAGATCGTCCTGGGGAAGTTTCAAGTTCTATTCTGAGGGCCTACTTCTGGATATCAGAATATTTGGACGCTATATTGACCTTGCTTTCACTTTAACCAACGCAAAATTGTGCTCACGCAGTAAAGGATTATGGGGCAGTTGTGATAGTAACACCATTAACGATTTCATCCCTAGAAACAGTTTCAATATTTCCCAAAATTTCTCAACTATCCACGAAATCTCTCAAAGTTTCATTAACACGTTTGTACGTTCTTGGAAAGTATTGGGTAATTCAGTCTCTCTGTTTATATTTAACACTGGTAGAGTAAACGAACCTCGTTTTAAAACTGATGCATTGTACAGTCTTCGTTTCAAAGATACAGGTATTACATCCAGAAACTTGTTTGTTTTGGCTGGTGGGGATATTACCATAGAGATGATGGTGAAATCTGATGGTATCGATGGTACCTTATTTTCGTATGCCACCACTTCGACTCTCGCTATAGTTGTCAAGACAACCGTAAGGATATTTCATGGTTCCCAAGAGTTTGATACTTTCTTAAACCTACAACAAAACCGTTGGAATCTGATCTCCTTGATTTGGCTTAAGAGAAACCGGATTATCCAGCTTGTGCTTATCGACGACTCAGAGAAAACACAGGTTAGGAATTTCCCAGTTAACAGCGACCAAGATATCTTCGCACCTGGCGGAACGTTAACCCTCGGGTATTGGTATCCTTCAGGAGGGGCATCAGGAAGCTCGATACCAGGAGGTTTTACTGGAGAGGTAGACGAAGTTCGTATATGGAACAAGCAAAGATTCGTTACAGAGATTGTAAGTTCGCGAGTTAATGTTTTAGATTGTGCATCGAAGGATCTTGCAAGTTTGTGGAAGTTTAATGAAGGTCAAGGTAACCTAGCAACAGACTGCGTTGCAGGAGTTCGCTTCCAGTTCCCTGTGCGAGCGCAAGGACCAATTTGGGTTTATTCCAGTGCAACTTTAAAGTTGCAAAGTAACAATAAAGGCATCCTAACTGTGAATGAAAAGTTATCAGTGGAAACAGTATGTAAGGAAGAAATATTTGGCGGGAGTTATGGAAAACAATGCAATGTTTTGGACTCTAACGTAAAAATATTTTATACCATGGCATGTTATAAACTTGTTTTGATTAGTAGAGAAATCACGGAGCGAGTATGGAGCGTTTTCACATATCTAGATTATTGTAAAGTGAGCTTGGGTGTAGATAAGTGGCCTGGAGACAAATACTGTGATCAATTGAAAAAATTACAAATACCGAATTGGGTAAGCTTACAATGTCAAATGGACTGTTTGTTTGGAACTACCCTTAAGAATGGCGACTGTCAATGTGAACCCGGCTTCTATGGCAAAATGTGTGACCAAGAATGCCCTGGAGGTTATGCCACCCCGTGTGGAGGTTTTTGCGAGTGTAACATACTTTCCGGTACATGTGCATGTCCATTAAATGCGAACCTCAGTAGTGACTGTCGGAGCTGTTCACCTGGGTGGACTGGGGAGAAATGTTCTATTGCGATAACTAACAATGCGAGAAGCCTGGACACGACTCCTGTGTGTCAGAGTTACGGTGGTGGACACTTCACGACGTTTGATGGCAGCAACTACGACGTCAAAACCGCCGGAGAGTTTTATTTATTAAGATCAAACAGCTTCATCGCACAGATCCGGCACGAACCTTGCATGAACTCAAGCAGTTGTGTAACTGCGATTGCATTGCGTCTTGGGAAAGTCAACCTCACGTTACGTGCGTCATACGAAGAGCAAGGAAAACCATTGCTGTACATTGATCAATACAAAACAGACTACACAGTACGGCGGTACGTTGCGGGAGGTTATGAGTTCAGGCAGGAACAACTTGGATTATTCAGAATCAGACGTGGAAGGGAACGCGTGCTTGAAGTCAGAGCACAAGACAAGTACTTGAGCTTTAGTTTATTTAGTGGTGTCAAAACATGTTGGAATGTTTCTGGTTTGTGTTCTTCTTGTGATAACAACACTGCAAACGATTTTGAAACAACAACATTACGTGGAAGAAAGAGGTCAACAGACATTCCAAGACAAAGCATTTCTACCTTTGTAGAAAACTGGAGTGTACTTCCACTGGATTCAATGTTTGTTTACAAAGAAAAAGAACAACGTGAAATTTCGTCATCGAACTATTGTTTGCGGTATTACGGAACATCGGTTGACACACGTGCAATATACGGGTCATTTACAACTAGTGAGAATGTAACATTTGAGTTCTTCGTTAAGATCGAAAAGCATGGTGGGACGATTTTGTCATATGCTTCAGTAAATACCTTCGGGATTATTAACGATGTCACGATAAATATTCAGTTTTCAAGTAATGTTATAGACACTGGGATACGGTTGACGGCTGGACAGTGGTATTGGTTGGCGATAACATTCAGCCGACGTACTAGGATCATGCGTGTATATTGTTTAGATGCCGGTGGTTTAATACGCCAGTGGACAATGCTTGTACCGTATGTCTTGTACACAAGTGGTGGAGTACTATCTGTAGGACATTGGCAAACCACAGGCAGTGGTTCTACTGATGTTAATAGAAAACCTTTCTTTGGCTACATTGATGAAATCAGGATCTGGGATATTACTATTGAGGCCGCAGCTGTGAAGCAAAGTCGAGAGCGTCTTATTAAGTATCAAGCTACTGGTTTAGTCTCGCTCTGGTTGTTTGATGAAGGTGAAGGAACGATTGCGCATGACATAATAGGTGGTAACGACTTACGGTTGCCAGTTGAACCGACGGTCCGTCCACGTTGGGTGTTCAGTTACGCTCGTACCGGCCGACCTGTAGTTTCCTACGACAATATACTCTGGAGCAATATAACATTGAAAATAGAAGCAGAAAATCTTTGTAAGAAGTTTATAATAGATACTTTGCATAACGGTGATTGTGGGAATGTGTTGGGGTTAGCGCATGCGCAATATTATTACACCCGGTGTTTGGATGATGTAAAAGCTTCTGGCGTGGTAACGTCAGCATTTCAGTCTATCGTTAGCTACGCAGATTATTGTCGAAACATCCTGGAACTAGAGACGTGGCCTCTTGACCGTTACTGTAATGAAATACCAAAGGAGTATGTGGGTGTTGTGAAAGGTCCTCATTGTAATGTCACGTGTTTGTTTGGTGAAGTCACGTTTGATGGTTGTGTTTGTTATACTGGATATTGGGGCGAGAACTGCTCAACTGTTTGTCCGGAGGGCGCAGTCACTCCTTGTAATGGTAGGGGAGTGTGTAATTCAAGTACTGGGGAATGTACATGTGATCACAACTGGCAGGGTAATGAGAACTGTACGATGTGCACCCCTGGTTGGGAGGGAAGAGAGTGTAGTGTGGCGTTAGCAACTCATGGAAACGCATCGTCTGTTGGGTTAACTGGCGGACATTATCAAACATTTGACGGAATAAGGTTTACATTCTTCGCCACTGGGGAATTCAAAGTCGTACAGAGCTCGGAAATTGTCGTACATCTTCGTCAAGTTCCATGCCAAAACGGACGTTCCCGATGTATTGACGGTCTTGCGTTCTTACTGGAGAGCAAAGTGGAGTTGATAATACTAGCATCAGTCCCTGGAACAGGTAACACCTTATTATTACAAAAGCAAGGGTTCTGGCATAACTACTAGGCAAAAATGCCATCGTTAAACGTGTTTATCCGACATATGTTGAGTAAATAAATGCCCAGGATCGGTTCTTTTAAACATGTAACTACTTTTTAACTACCCAATTGGTAGTCAACTCTGAAATACTGCCTCATAAGTGAATGTGTAAACAGTGATATTTTAGTTGATGTGAAACTTACAGTATTTAGCCAATACCTGAACAAAATTAGTAAATAGTCTTGCAGGTTTAATAACACTCTAATTTTTTTTCGAATACTCCTTCACAGAACATCCTGTATTTTGGCTAAGCAAGAAGAGGCTTGAACTCAACGAAATTGTCACTTCAATTGGAGATAAGTTTACTTTGGTTCAAACTACATCAGTCACTCTGGAGTTACGTTCACTGCTTTACGAAGTCGTGATAAGAATAAGATTCACAGAGAGCGGACTGCAGTATATCATCGTTGCTCCGAAGGAGGTATGCGGGATTTCGGTGGCATTAGGTGGAAGCTGTGACGGTTTACGCAATAATGATCATAATGGCACCTCAGGGACACCCTTGGAAAGACTTTTCCGAGTTCTTCCTGCACAAAGTCTGTTCTCGGCTGCGATTGGCTACAAAGATTTCTCGAATTTCTTAACTGGTGCGGAATATGCTTTGAGGTTTACCGGCGTGGGGATAACAACGGATATAATTGGTGAAGTCTTTACCGAAAGCTACGTGACTGTGGAGTTGCTGTATTTAAGTTTTGATGGAAGTGGAACATTGTTTACTTACAGCAAAGAAAATATTTTCTCTATTGTTTTGGTCAATGGAGAATTTTGCTTCAGAATGAATGATATGTTTAATCACATAGGTTAGTGTTCTTTCCTTTTAAGCCCCGGTCAAACGAAAATAAGGGTTGGGAGTTGCAACTCTCGCTCCCGTTGGACTGCTAACTCTCATTCACTCTCATCAACTCTCGTCAGCTTTGAAGTGGTTCAATTTTTGAAAGTTGATGAAAGTTGATGAGAGTTTTCGCTACGCGTGCGGTAATATTCAGGGAACTCTCATCAATTCTAATACAATTCTGGTTATCCTTTGTCCGAGGCATGAAAGTTTGAAAAGAACTCTCGTACAGACTTTTACCTCTTATCTAATAACTCTTATCAACTGTCATTCTCGATTTACCATGGCTTTAGTACCAATGTGTGCTTCAATTATCTATAATTTCATTTTTACCGAGCGAACGCAGAAATAATCAGTTTGACATAAAAGGAAAAGTGGGCAACATTACAATGCGGTCTACAGGATTCTCAACTTTAGGATTCATTCTTAAATTTAAAACTCAAACACGTTAATGATACGAATTTCGCTGTTCATTTTTCAAAACAAATAGATGGGCGATACTCATAGATAGCGATACTGTATTTAAATAGCCAACTTACTACCTTCTAGATGAAGGGCCTTCAATCGATACGTGGAATTTTTCTCACGTAAATACATCCCTAATGAATGTAGCATACTGTCTTTGGAAAAAAACTTTAAACCACAAAGAAAATAACCGCGCTGTTTCTGCCTTGCTATATGTGATGTTCTTACTTGTTATATCCCTTTGGTAGACTTCACAAACTTTCTTCAAATTATTTAGGAATAAAGACATCACTGAATGTGTGGAATCAGATCTCTGTTGTGTACAATCGTGCATTTGGACGTGTGCATTTCTACCACATAAACAGCCAAGGACACGTGACTATCAAGTCGATACATACGCACCGCAATATGTTTGCCGCCGGAAGTAAAATTGCTATTGGACAATGGATTCCAGGAGGAAGTGTAGTTGTGACTAGGTCACCAGGTTTCCGGGGAAAGATAGACGAGGTTCGTATCTGGAACAGGCAGTTCTCTGGAGCAGATATCAGATCTTCTTGGAGAGTGAACGTTCAATATTCTGCAAAATATCTGGCGGTCTTATGGAAATTCAACGAAGGACAAGGTATCGTGGTAAAAGACATTAAATCTCATGTTCACTTGTATATTCAAGAAGTTCAGCACAGCGTTGAGTGGGTGTATGGTAGGGCTGTGGTGACTATATTACCAATAGTCACTCCTGTTGCTACCAAGGAAATGGTAGAGTGGTGCACAGCACATATCCTAAACTCCCCGGTCGGTCAGAATTGCCGAACTCTCGGAGCTCCGAGTCGAACTGTCTACTATCGCGCATGTTTAGAGGTGACGTCAGTGAATGGTGACGTCATATCAGGAGTAACTATTGTGGTTGCTTATTCAGATTACTGTCAAGTTTCTCTGGGTCTAATCACATGGCCTGCACGTACACTTTGTAATTACCCATTATTCCTTGCCTCACCACATATTCCATGGACTGGGTCTGTTTGTCAACAGGCTTGTTACTTTGCTACAAGAACGGCATACCGCTGCACATGTTTACCAGGTTTCTACGGCACAAGTTGTTCTAGTGTTTGCCCAGGTGGTATCACAAGTCGTTGCTATGGAAATGGCGCGTGCTCTCAAACAACGGGCCGCTGTACATGTAACTATAATTGGTATGGCTCATCTTGTAATCGCTGTAGACCTGGCTATTACGGAACCGACTGTTCGTTAAATATCGGAGGCATTATATCCACCGGGAGTAAGACCTCGATATCTTTATCCGGAAATGGTCATTTCATTGGTTTGAGTGGCGCTGCTTGGGTTTATCGTGGTACTGGCGAATTCAACGCGATCGTATCTAGAAGATTGGGTGTTAGCGTTCAACTTCGTCAAGTAATGTACGGTACAGGTGTAAGAGTTCGTTGTGCTGTAGTTCAAACTGCGGTAGGAGTATTGGCCATTCATAGTGGAGTACAGACAGGAGTTACAATTACTCTCAATGGAAAGCCTATAGATTACAACAAACACATTTCAATTGGATCCGGCTTTGTTTACCGCAAACGTTCTCATAATAAACTGGAAATCAGCGGACCTGAAGGCTTCACTATGCTGCTCTACTATAGACAAGTTTACTTTGGTGTTCAAATTACTATGGATAAATCATTTTGTCGCGATACTTGTGGATTGTTTGGGAATTGTGGGAACTCAAAAAATCTTAATTGTACATCAGCTGGGCTTCTGGAACGGTTTAACAAGTCAACGATACGTCAACAGGATATTGATGAGTTTATCAGCACGTGGTCAATTCCTAGAAATGAAAGTCAGTTCCAAGACGTTCTGGCAGTTGCTAAGGAAACCAATATAATTACAGCAGCTGGCACGTGCTTGTTCTTTTCTAAGAATTCTATCATTACGCCGCCATTTGTGGACGTGTTTCGTGGAAATTATCTCACCATTCAATTTCATCTTAAAGTTAAAGAACTCCATACTGATGGGACAATATTTTCATTCGTTTTGAATACAAACTTCGCTTTCAGAATAAACGGAACTTTACAAATTCATTTTGGAGTAAAGATTTACGATACCAATATCTTTCCAGAACTGGACAATTGGAATCATATCACGTTTGTTTATCATCGTGTTGTTGGAATACTTGAGGTGTATGTTAGAAATTCTGTGAAAATATTGGTAACGAGAGCGATAAATATTGGGACGGGAGCTTTTGAACCCGGGGGTAAGCTTGCACTCGGTCTTTGGCAGGCTACAACCGGGGTGATCACCTCCCCCGGAGGGTTTGTTGGCAGGATTGATGAACTAGTGATCTGGAATAAACGTTTTGATGTCGCCTTGATCGACAACTATGTTGGTGTTAGTATTGTGCAAGGCATCGAGGGTGTGGCAGGGTTATGGAAGTTCAATGAAGGAACAGGGTGGATTGCAAATGATCTAGTGGGGTCTCTGCATTTTAATCTCCCCAGACCTCCCTGGAATTCACCGGCGTGGATGCCATCTGATCTCTACATTGCTGTACAATCTGAAGTGATATCTAGGCCTGCGACACGCGACAATAAAACAGCGTCACTTTGTGGGAAGATATTTAGTTCAACGTCATTGAATGATTCATGCGGGCAAATGGATGAAAGAAAAGAGTTTTCATATGAAGCATGTTTACAAGACGTGGAGTCAAGTGGTTTTATTGACGCTGGAAAGGATTCTGTGATGTCATATGCTAGAGAATGTCAGGTCGCGCGAAATCTCACCAACCTCCCTGGAAACGACTTGTGTGACGTCTTCACTGACGAGCGTTACGACGACTTGTCAGGAACTGCGTGTGATATTATATGTATTTTTGGCACCATCAAAAACAACACTTGCCGTTGTGATGATGGATTTTGGGGAGGTATGTGTTCACAAGAATGTCCGGGGGGTGCGTCCAATCCTTGTAATAGACGCGGGAATTGTGATGTCATCTCTGGCTTATGTATTTGTGACCGGACTTGGCGTGGTGATTTTGGTTGTAACAGGTGTACTCTGGGATGGATGGGAAGTGAGTGCGCAATAGCTGTACCCAAGTCACTTCAACCAACAACCTCGGTGACTGCGGCGGCAGGATCGGGTGGAATTCTAATTGCCGGTGACGGGACGATATTTCGCCTGCATGGAGTTGGGGAGTTCACGATTTTGAAAGGAGAAAATGTTGATGTTCAAGTACGTCAAGTGCCGTGTCGTAATGGAAAATCTCTATGTTTTAATGCTGTGGGAGTGTCGGTGAACTCCGCCAATATAAGTATTCATGCCCCGTATGGAAATGGTGAAGATCTTGTTATCAATATTAATGGCATAGTTATAGATAAAAATGATATAAGTAAAGCTGGTTTGGCTGGAGTTAATATCACTTTCTCAGGTCCAGATGAAGTACAAGTTAATTATGGAAATAAGCTGGGAATTGGAGTAATCATCAATGGACAGCACATCACTTTAGAAACAACAATCTCGACAGCATTGAGCAAGAAACTTGGCGGTCTTCTTGGCTCAACATCTCGCAATACTACTGCATCTTCAAATAATACATCCATACCTTCTTTAAAAGATTTACTTAATGCGACTGATATCAATGAAGCTGTTCGTAAAGTGTTTGGGCTATCTCCCTCATCAACTCGGGTGATCATATTAGACAAGAAACGACACGAGACTGTTGTGGTTTACGCTGGAGGTTATTCCCTGTTTTTCAAATTCACTGCAATATTTTCAAAACCGGTTGCACACATATTTATTCAGCGTGTGATTACGTTTGAAATCATGGTAAAAATAAATTGTGCGCCTGCAATTTGTGGAGGACCCATCTTGTCGTACACTTCATCTCAGATGTTTTACATATCGACTTACTCCACCTTGAGAGTGATCATCGGGACCCAGGTCTATGATACAGGTTTGCGGGTTGAAGTAAAGCACTGGAACCAAGTAACAATGACATTCTGGAGTTTGAAACTTGAAATGACAGTTTGTCTTACATTATCGCAGGGTGTATTGCTACGTAAGTCTTTCAAACTCATCACAAATCCTTTCTTGGCCGGAGGAACTATTGCTATCGGCGCATGGCAACCTTCGCCTAACGGTCAGCGTGGAGTCATGCCTACTACGACCTTCGTCGGAGAAATTGATGAATTTCGAACTTGGAACCGCGCATTTGATTATGCATTACTACAACAACATTGGTTAGTGAATCTAGCGCCTGATATTGATGGTCTGACTGGGTTGTGGAAATTCAACGAAGGAGTAGGAGGTGTAGTTAATGATCTTGTGGGAAATAATCATCTGTATTTCCCTGGTGAGCCGTGGAATAAACCTGTATGGTACTACTCAGATCTACCGATCCCTTATATGGGCATTTCCAGGTCTAATGTAGACAATAATATCAACCAGCTGGCGAATACGTCGTGTTCCGGAGTCTTCCGAAGAGGTCCTTTGCTGAATTATTGCTCTAGATTACCTTCTATAATACGCGGACAGTATTATGATATGTGTGTTGAATCAGTAACTGATACAGGACGAAATACCAGCAGTTTAGAAAGTGTCTTGCTATACTCAGACTATTGCATGAAAACATTGAGTCTTCACCTTTGGCCAGCACAGTCTTTATGTAACAAATTCCCTGGAGAGGTGTTTCCAAAATGGATTGGTAAAAACTGTGACATTCCTTGTGTATTTGGCATGAAAGATAAGGACAATCCTGAAAAATGTAAATGCAACTTTGGTTACTGGGGAGTGGCATGTGATCAAACTTGCCCGGGCGGAACTAAGTCCCCATGTACGAACCATGGCACCTGTGATCCAATCTTCGGTAAATGCTTATGCGAGTTGGAGTGGACTGGTACCGACGACTGCTCCACCTGCGCCGCTGAGTGGACTGGGGGCGATTGTTCATTTGCTGTATCAAAGGTGACTATAATTAGTGGTGGTATTCGATTCTCTGGTATGTTTGGTTTGTCATTATTTACAACTCTCGATGGTCACAGCTTTACTTTGAGCGTTATAGGAGAATATTACCTTTTCTATTCTGTACATATACATTTCTCAGTTCAAATTCGCCTTGTTCACTGCTACGGTATTTCATCCTGCGTCAACTCAATCGCTTTCAGTACAGCTAGCCACACTTTAGTTCTACATGGTCCTTATACAACCAATCGCTATCCAGTTATATGGCTTGATGGCTCACTTATCGATTTAGACCTCCATCACGTGACGACTTCACTGTATGGCTTCTCTCTTCGGAAAGATTCGATATCCGTATATATCTTCGAGTATTCTTCTTTCAAAATATCCATTCGAGTGCGAGGTCGGTACCTCAATCTAGTATCAAAGGTTTCAGGTGCAATCTGTGACAATTCGTATGGTATACTGGGATCATGTAATAGTCCATTCCTGGCTAGTCTGGATCCTGGTTTTCCACTCACTAACTGCACGGATAAAAACGACACCTCTGTAAGGGAAAGTCTTGCCGCGAATGAGTATGACATAAAGAATGTGACGACCGAGGCAATCGGAAAACTGGTACAGAATCTTAAAGTTCATTCGTGTGACAGCCTCTTCGTGTATCGTTACGAGTTATACCACGAATATCGAAACTCTAATGCAGGATACGCGTTACACTTCCATCAAACAGCTGTTGTCTCGGGCTTAGTACAGCAACCCTTTGAACACAATGATATCACCGTAGAGTTTTACGTGAAACTCAGCAGTATTGGTGTGATTTTCAGTTACACAAAGTTCAAAACATTGGTTTTCACTGCCACTTCAACTCATTGCACTATATATTTTGGAGACAGGAAATTCGTTACTAATATTGCAATACAGCTCAACCACTGGAATCAAATTGCATTCGTGTTTAGGAAACTAACGTCAGTTTTACAACTTTACCATTTCGACTACCAAGGACAACTTACAAGACAGGATTTGGTTATAGGTGAGGACATTTTCCCACCCGGAGGAGTGTTAGCTATAGGAGCTTGGCAGCCCTCTGTGGATGGATCTGGGCCACAACTCCGAGGTTACTTTACCGGGTATGTAGATGAATTTAAGATCTGGACAATGGCTTATCACCCTGCTGTAGTTAGCCAAGCTTGGTTGAGAAAGGTGGGTGTAAATACAAAGAACTTGGCACGACTGTGGAAACTTGATGAAGGTGAAGGTTTTATTGCAAGAGAAGATATAACAGGAAGTGTACTGAGTTTAGAAACATCTCCATGGCGAAGTCCCACTTGGGCTTACTCACAAATTAAACTTAAACCTGCATTACCTGGGACAGCAAGTACAACTCTTCCTTTCAACCAAACATTTGAAGAGATAGCCAAGTCATTTTGTACCGAGATTATTCTTGAAGGTCCTTTGAAATCATCATGTAACCTTTTGGGACCAGCAGTATCAACGTATTACTTCAAGGCTTGCGTGAGTGTTGTTATGACAACAGACGATGTTGCAGCATCCCTAGACATAGTGATCGCATACTCCGATTATTGTCAATCTATCCTTGAGTTGTCCACGTGGCCCGCTCGACTATTGTGTAATAAATACCCTGGGAAGGAGTTTCCGATATGGTACGGAAGTCAGTGTGATAAAAGGTAAGTACTGACTGACCTACACAATACAGTAAAACCGCTCTTATAAGAACCTAGATTTTCCAAGTTAAGCTCAACAGGTTCTTATGTAAATGGTGCTTACCAGGAAATTAGGCTAAACAGGTTCTTAAATAGGTGCTTAAGAAAAAGCGTCTCATTTTAGGGAGGTATGGTATATCATTTATATAAATTATGCACAAATGATCTAAAAAATGACAGCGCATACACCACGGGCTTTAGGACAAATTCAATTTGACAACAATAGTATTTTATCTAAATAGCAGTTAAAATAAAGTGTACAGCACCTGAACTGTTCAATATCTTGCTTCTATATCCATAAAACATTTACATATTTATATGCAAATACTGTATATTTTCAAAAACCGCCATATTTATTTACATTAGAACCCAAGCTTTCGTGGTTCACACGAAAAATTACGTCGGTGATTTTCACTAATAATAAGAGGGTAGGATTAAAGTGGGCGTTCTCACTCGCTAACCCAATCAGCTGTCTGGGTACTGCACCACGTGACCTGTTCAAATCGTTCCGAGCGGGAGGAATCTTATGACATCATAACGGCTTCGATAAAATATTTTGGGGACTTAGAAGCAAGATATTGAACAGTTCAGGTGCCGTACACTTTATTTTAACTGTTATTTAGATAGAATACTATTGTTGTCAAATTGAATTTGTCCTAAAGCCCGTGCATACATTATACCAACCCTGTATGCACTTTGTAACTTATGACTTAATTTTGACTGTATTTGATAATATATAGGTTCTTAAATTCTGGGTTCTTATTTCCGAAATGTAGCGTATGTATATTAAAATTAGAACTTCAGAGCTCACGCGAGCTGGTAACACAGTGGTATAGTACTTGCGCCTTTAATCTCTGTTACCGTTGTCTGTTGTCTGTTGTCTGTTGTCGGATTGTAATTTACCTTAATGCTGTGCGAAGACTGCTATCATTTTCAGTCTACCAAATACTGTGGACCAATTAACAAGAGCCTAAGTTGTCTATGGGCGAGTAGCATTCAACCTTCGCATACTTGCCCTGTGCCTCTTTTGTTTACTTTTTGCCATTGTTGGCAAAAATTTTCTTATTAAATATCATGTACATGAAAATACAATTTTAAACAGACCTTGTCACAGTCATGATATTGAGGGGAAAATACAAACGAAGTTTTGATAATTATAAGAGAACTGAACAAGACGTCAGAACTTAAGAGATATTTTATAAATTTTACGCAAAGTAATTTTAATGCCGCCAAAATTGACAAAATACATGGCAAAATGGATGTGAGAAACAATACTATCACCTGAAATCCATGGAAAAAATTTAACTTTTAAATTTCGTCGAAAAACTCGAAAGCTATAAGGAAAGAATTTTTAGGCGGGAAATGTCGAAGCACACAAAAAGCATTTAAAAAAGAAGAAAAGCCTTAAAAGTAATAACTATTATTACTTATAAACATAAAATCACATTTCAGACAAGATAACAATTGAAAGACCAAAGGCAGCGCAAAAATTCGCGTAGAATGTTCATTGTTCTAAACCTGGTTCTAAATGTCGATTGTTGTAAAACTCGCCCTATTCCTCTTAATTAAGTTTGTCGCGCGGCGCAAGCGCCGCCATATTGAAAAGCAATTGATAGTAATATATAATAACTAGACTGTGTACAGACGTTACTCTCGACAAAGCGCGCGAGAGAACGTCTGTGAGTTGGATGAAGATTCCTTGTTCTGGTCACGTGGATTTTCCTCAGATTTGTGGAAAGGCCTCTGATTGGACAGTGCTTTATTTGAATAATATATGACAAATGAAGATATTTCATTGGTTAATTGATAATTAGCATGCGTTTAAAATAACAACACAATAATTTTAAATTCAGAGATTTCCTCAAGAATCAAGATTTCCTTCGGGGTATACAAAAGTTTGAAAGACTTGAAATATAATCTGAAAAATTAACGATACACCAGAAATATATTGCATATATTTCTCGATGAAGAGATTTGTTTTGAATGCGAACAATGCTGAACGATGATCATAGCCGGCAAGTTCGGTGTACAAGCTCAGTTCTTGGCGTACATATGGCGTATATTTGTTTACAAAGACTAAGTATTAAATATAAACACAACTGGTTATTCAAAAGGTGCATTTTAATTAATGTAATTAAAATTCACTGCCCAAGTAAGACAAAGTTAAACACATTAATGAAAATGCTTTATTGCGGGGGATCGGGACATATAAACAGATTGTCAATTTATTAAATTGTCAATTATAAATTGTCAATTTCCGTCCGATAGTTTGTTGTATTTTATATATTTGTCAGCATTGTTCGCCGAGTGTCCAAACACTAGAATTTTATCTTGATTTTCTTAAACTTCGATACAGCACAAAATTAAACGCAACAGATTATATTTCAAGTCTTTCAAACTTTTGTATGCCCCGAAGGAAATCTTGATTCTTGAGGAAATCTCTGAATTTAAAATTATTGTGTTGTTATTTTAAACGCATGCTAATTATCAATTAATCAATGAAATATCTTCATTTGTCATATATTATTCAAATAAGCACTGTCCAATCAGAGGCCCTTCCACAAATCTGGGGAAAATCCACGTGACCAGAACAAGGAATCTTCATCCAACTCACAGACGTTCTCTCCCGCGCTTCGTCGAGAGTAACGTATGTACACAGGCTAATAATAACATGCTATGTTATGCTTGATATGTTATTATATATTACTATCAATTCCTTTTCAATATGGCTGCGCTTGCGGCGCACGACAAACTTAAGAGAGGAATAGGGCGAGTTTTAACACCGATCGACATTTAGAACATTCTACACCAATTTTTGGGCTGCCTATGGAAAGACCAGCAAAACATATGATTAAGTACTAATTTCTACAAGCAGCTGTAGTTTCAACTGTTTTGCTTGTAGCAGTTCCGTCTGTCTTCTTGTCACATTTTGTGGCAAGTAGCAGCAAATTTATTATCAAAACAAGGTTTAAATTTTGCTCCCTAGTATTAAACGTCTTCAGGCCATATTTTTGTAGGCTTTTTTGGTTCTTCGGGGAAATAATTTTTTGCAAAATGCCCTTCGCAAAACAAAGGTTTTCTGGTAACTTTTTTCTCAATTGTGGTCCGAACGTGATATTCCATGGTCGAGTAGCCAATCAGAATGCCGTATTTTGTAATAGACCCTGGTCGAGTGTATTATAATAGAATTTGGTACTACTACTGCTGTTGTGATCATTAGTTTAAAATTGTTAAGTCAAATATTCTTATTTTAAAGGTGTCATAACCGTGACTATAAAGCATCTGCTGTCACATGTATCTGTCGACGTGGTTACTGGGGCTCAGAGTGCCAGAACGTATGTCGGGGCGGAACATTGCACCCTTGTAATGACCACGGGATATGCACCCCAACTACAGGAGAGTGCCTTTGCTATGATAACTGGAGTGGATCACGTGATTGTGGTGTATGTACAAGGAATTGGAAAGGAGTCGATTGCTCATTGGCTGTGGTTAGACATATCTCATCAGTCCATGTGCATATATTTGCTGTTGTTGACATCACAGCTCACTATGTCACATTTGATGGTATGGCTTTCCATCTTGCTGTGGTTGGAGATTATTATCTATTCCGAACACGTCTGTATATAGCTGACTACGTCACAGTTCAAGTCCGTCATGCACCTTGCGTATCACAAAGTGTATGTATCGTAGCTGTTGCAATTAAACTGTCGAGCACACATCTTGTCATTCATGCACCAAAAACAAACCAAGATCAACCTTTAATTTGGATTGACAATAAGCAAGAAAACATCACTCAGACTCGGTTTGGAACGGGCAATGCTGAATTAGTGATAACCATGGATGCTCCTTCAAAATACACCATAAAACACAAGGATGTATTTTCTTTAGGAGTTCGTGTCGTTGGTACTGCTCTTTCATTGAATGTAGATCTTAATAAGTCTAACTGTAGTGCGCATGGAATCCTAGGTAACTGTGACGGTAACCCTGAGAATGACTTGCCTCTTGGAAACGCAACTGTCCTTGGCAACCGAAGTATTGCAATTGGTAACGTAAGTCAAGGAGTGTTAAACAACGATTTGGTAAAATATTACGAAGTTGATATTAAGGACAGTTTATTTGTTGTTGTCGATAGTTTATACTTGAGAAGAATTTTGTATACTGGTGCAAGGTACGCTCTGCATTTCAACCAAAATGGAATAATTTCACAAGCGTTGTTTAAGACATTCAAAACTGGTACAGACGTCACAATAGAACTGCTTTTCAAACCATTTTCCAATGGAACTGTATTGTCTTATGCTTACTACAAAACGTTTGGAATAATAATACATAATACCCTTCAGCTCGAATTTGGCCGCGCCTGGTCCAAAGACACTGGAATCTACATCGAGGTGAACACTTGGTATCACGTGTCAATTACATGGAATCAAAATCTTCAGTTCCTTGAAATATACGTAATTACGAGAAATGAGGTTATTCAGCGAAGACAGTTTAACATCCCGGAGAATCCTTTCCGCCCTGGCGGCATTCTAACGCTCGGATATTGGGAACCGTCATCTGGTGATACGGAAATTCGTATTCGCAATGGCTTTACCGGAGTAATCGACGAATTACGAGTATGGCATCGAGTGTTCAACCCTGTAACTATTCAACAAAACTGGAGAATGAATGTACTTCCAAATACACCATCTTTATCTGGACTATGGAAATTTAACGAAGGTTCGGGAGATACTGTTCACAACCTAGTTACCACCGAACATTTGTACCTACCGTCGGAAGTATGGTCCACGGCGATATGGATTCTCTCTGATGCAGATATTGCATTGAACTTGAGTAATGTTGACAAACCGTTCGAGAACAGTTTTGTAAATCAAACATTGAATGATTCGGCTGTAGAGTGGTGTAATGCTCTATTCTATCGCGGACCTGTGGACAACTATTGCAAAAATCTTGGAGCAATTGTGGAGTTTTATTACTTGACTTGTGTTCAAACCGTTGCAAGGACCACCCAATTGGCGTCAACGCTATCTGTTGTAGTTCAGTTCTCTGACTATTGTCAAACGTCTTTGTCGTTATCCAACTGGCCAGCGCGAGAATTGTGTAATCACTTTGGAGATACTAAGTTTCCTTACTGGATTGGTGAGAGATGTGACATACCTTGCCTGTTTGGAAACAGAGATCCTAAGAATATGACCAAATGTCAGTGCTACCATGGTTATTGGGGAATTGACTGCTCAGAAATATGTCCAGGTGGGTACACCAGTCCTTGTCATGGGCATGGCGTGTGTAACCCTAGTGATGGCGTGTGCACTTGTGACGTCAATTGGAGAGGTGATGCCATGTGTTCAGCATGCAGTTCTGATTGGTTTGGTGAGCTATGTCAATATGCTGCCACAAAACATCTCATATTTAAAACATTCTCTATCGCCTCTATCAAAGGTCAAGGATACTTCACAAATTTTCTCGGAATTTTGTTCTATCTTCCAATTTTCGAAGAATTTTACCTAATTCGGTCGACATCGTCGCAATTTGCCATACAACTTCGTCAAACACCGTGTATGCATCGTAGCTTATATCGACCGCTATGCACGACGGGTATCTCTATACGGTTCAGCGTTCACCTGACTGTCACGATCAGATCACGTGTGACTAACATAAACATTTATTATCCTCTCGTGTGGACCAATGGGAAACCTATTATAGTTGACCATGTGACCTACTTCAGTGCAAGTATACGTATGACAAGAATTACACTGAACCGTTACGAAATAACTGGACAAAATGGACTGCTGTTTATACTGACCGTGGGCCAAAGTCTTTCAATTCGTCTTCGAATACCAACATCACTTTGTGAACATTCTACTGGAATCCTTGGTCCTTGTGAACAGCGCTTATCTTACCAAAATACGACTGATATTCAAGTTCTGAAGAATGCAATCACAAACGGAACAGTTGACCAATCAGAGAGCTTATTTGTCTACAAACATGAAAATTTTCACGAAATCAGACATGTCACTGGGGCATGGTTTAATCTGCGCATGAACGATAGTCATATTGTTTCAGACACCTTGTTGCTGGGTAACCATGACGTTATCACAATCGAGATATTTGTGAAGACCAAGAGTTACGGTGGGACATTACTATCGTACGGTAAAGAAGAGTACTTAAGCCTTACAAACGAACAAGATATACGTGTGGTGTATGGGTCGGTGGAGTTCAGAACAGGACTGAGACTTAGTCTGAATAGTTGGTCACAAATAACGTTGGTATGGATAAAATCATCATTTGTGCTGCAAGTTTATTATCATGATTATCTCACGTCGTTTGGATTGCCTCTTCTAAGAACTTACCAGTTTAATTCACAGATATTCGCTAGTGAAGGTAAGAAGCCAATTAAACAAATTTTCATCTCTTTTCTCTCTAGAGTGCTAGAGTGAAACCCTATTAAGCGGACACCTTTGGAACGTTATTAACATACCAGAACTTTATCTTAATTAAAAGGGGGGATTGACTGTATATAATTTTACTTTTTTCCTTCTTTCGTTTTGTTGAAAACGTTTATGGCCGACATTTTAAAAATAGATTGAACCATCAACTACTGTGATTTTTGCCCAATATTTTGCATCTCCACTTTACTCGAAATCATTCTTTCTCCTTTGTTAATTAATCAATTATTCATGAAAGGTCGTTACTTTATATTTTCCAGGTCGTCTTTACATTGGTTCATGGCGTGCAGCAGAAACAGCAACAGTGCAGGTCCCAAGGGGTGACTTTAATTGCGACATAGATGAAATTCGAGTCTGGAACAGACGATCAATTCCTGATCTGATCAAACGTCACTGGAATATCAACGCTTATGCCTCACTACCTGGCTTACTGCATCTCTGGAAACTTGACCAAGTGGAAGGATCCAGTGCAGTAGACGGCATCTCAGGAAAAAAGCTATATCTCCCACTCTTCAATAAGCCTTTCTGGGATTTCTCAGACCTTCCAATTCCAAGAAACAGTTTGGATAACAAAGCAGTGTTCCCGAACTCTACACTCCAAGTCCTTGCTGAAGAATTTTGTCACTCTGTTATACTAGCTGGCCCTCTTTACGATAACTGCCTTGCTCTTGGAACAGCGGTTGCTGGGTTTTATTACAAGGTGTGTTTACAGGATGTTGCCTCGATACAAACCGTTGCTATAGCAATAGAAGCAGTGATTGCGTATGCCGATTATTGCGAGGATGCCCTGGATCTAGATTTCTGGCCTGCTCGTGAGTTATGCGATCTTTTCTCCACCGAGTACTTCCCGTATTGGATTGGACCTAAATGTAATACATCTTGTATATTTGGAAGACCTGGCATACAGAATGGATCCTTAGTGTGCGCCTGCGAACATGGGTATTGGGGAGAAGCGTGCGATGGACTATGCCCAGGAGGACTATGGGATATTTGTAGCAATCATGGGACATGTGATCCCATGAATGGCACATGTTCATGTGATCCAAGATGGAGGGGTGACATCAAGAACACAACTTCCGGTAACGTGACTTTGTCCCCAATGCCCTGCTCGATGTGTACCTCAGGATGGCAAAATCAGAACTGCTCAATTGGTGTTGAAACTGAATACTCGAACTCAAGCTTCCTGAGTGACACAGCCATTTGTGTAGCGTTTGGCGACCCTCATGTGACAACATTTAGCCGAGCTAGTTATAATCTGGGTATCACAGGGCCGTTTCAGGCATTCAAATCTCGATCTAGTGTGATGGACGTGTTGCAGGTACCGTGCGAAAACTCAGCAAGATGTAGGAGAATACGGGAGATCGCGTTGTCATCTCAATCTTTCAATATTTCAGTGAGAATGTCAGATGTAGGAGTGGTTTTCACCAATCTCAGCTCTAACATGGTGTCTGATACTACTTTAAGGTAACTATACGTTTTTTACAATATTTTGTCTGTTAGCCATATGGCATGCTCTACACTTAATTAATCTGATGCAGTAGACGCAATATACGAAACGCGATCCTAAATTTGAGCAACTCCTGTGGCGAAATCAAGCGTGTTAATCCTGGAGGGATGGCAGACGCATCCCTCTCCCGCATTATGGACATTCATATAAAGAATTATCATAAATGATACCCATTTGCCGGCCCCGTTCCCTCGCTTTCTGGAATTACTGAGTATTTTATGAAATACACAACAACGGTCAGTGGCGTAGCCAGCACGACCATTCAGTCCCGCTATGCAAATATTGCCATGTTTATAAACTATCAACACAATCAATTTCTAAAGAAATGAATAATGAGTTGAAATTTGCATGGCGGGACCAAATCGTCGAGCTGATTACGCCACTGACAACGGTAACTTAATTCCTATAAATTCAACAACTATATTCATAAAGCACAATTTCAAGTTTGCAACGAAGTATGAATTAGTGAATTTTGCATTTCGGCATTAGCTGTGGTAAAATATGTTTTTACTCTAAACATATACTTTTTGTGATATTAATATTGATATGGTTTGTTTACCTTTTTAATCGTATTCGTATTTTTCTTTCTACAAGTTGTGTATTTAGATCAGTTTTGCATATTGTTTAGCATATTCATAAGTTTATTTTTCCCGCCTTTCGTTTTTTTGTTTACTCGTCCCATTTTCCTGAGCACTTTTAAATTCTGTGACTGAAAAGGGTCAAAAGGTTCTACCACCGTACCCAGGTCAAATGGATCCTATTAGTCAAGGCAGTAGTCACTGTGCAATTTTTCCAGCTTCTTGGGCCACAGTAAGCATCTCAATTTTTGTATGGAAAAATTTCATGTTCAAAATTTCGAAGCCGCCATAGCGACGCGGTCAAGTGCTGCTGTCAAGTAAGATACGATTTTCTTGCATTATTACTGATATAATATCTAAATATATACACATAAAGGAAAACATATATCTTGTCTTTCAGATAGGCACATAAAGTAAACAAAAAAATATGATTTCAAGGTTTTTACATAGGTATTTTTCGACTTCGTAGTTGCGAAAGCAGTTTTGTTGTAAACAAATTGAATCTTAAATTCTATAAACGATTGCAAAAAAGGTCAAAAAACTACCCGATGAAATCTTGCATAATGAATTTTGCATAAAAAATTTATAATAAACATAATGTACATCATAACTCTAAAGTTTAATACCATTTGGCCGTTTGCTCGTTGAAAAAAATCAAAATGTTTGCCGTCTACGTAAGAACCGACGAAGTAGACACGCACGTCTATAGTTTTGAAGTTGACATATTTCGGTTATGAACGTTACAGAAACATTTTTCGGCACTACAGCGATAGCTAACGATCTGTGTAGCACAAGAAAAACTGGTATCTCGGACATCGCGTCAAAAACTGCCTAGTTACAATCCGTTTTAATGAAGCTTGTTGAAAATTTTAATTTTTTTGTTTTCTTCGAGAACTCCTTGTTGTGCACGCTAGGCCCCAGGCCTAAAGCGCATCACACATGTTCAGCTGCCTCACTGGCGTTTCACCGCCCATTCTTATAGACGCCCTGATTTTATCAAGTAATGCGAGCAACAAAATCATATCAAGAAATGAACATGTTGGCCAATATTCATAACTTGTACTTGACGTAAACATTCAGAAGATTAAATGTGCAGAGGACAGTTATTTAATAAACTTTCTGTTTTCCAAGATATTCAACTTCGTGGCAAACTATCAGTGAAGGAAGATATCGTTGGTTAGATCGAAATCGTTTGGAAATCACAGACAAAGACGAAACTAAATTGACAATACTGGCATACTTTAACACGTTGGCCGTGGCTGTTGAAACATCAAGGAGACTGAACACCAGTGAGCGGGGAATATGCGGATCATCGGATGGGGATTGGGAACAAGATATCATTGAAACATTGAACATGACGTCATTAAATGGGACTGCAATCCAATCAACGCTTGCCAATTTAACACAGGCCAAGCATGATGATTATATTAACAACGTGATACGAGTGAGAGATACCAGAATGATTACAGGATATGCGGTGGCATACAGGACAGGTGGTGGATATATGTTGAGTTTGGGGGTTAATTACTTGTCTTTAATCCTTGACTTTACTTACCCTGTGCTTTCTGAGGTCAGCATTGAAATCTGGGTAAAGTTATCTGTATATGAAACAGCGATGACTGTTGGAACAGTTCTAAAAGGAAAACGGGTTCTGTACAGTATTGTCCACCAAGGAAGCAACTGCACTGTCTGGTATAACAATGAGATAGTTATTACGTGGGGGTCATATGAAATAAATACTGGATTAGTATTGAAACACGCTCACTGGACGCATCTCTCTCTCACTTGGAGAAACAGCGATGGGCGACTTGTTATGATGCTGGCAAATATTGACAGACAAAGAGAAAAATCGATACACTATGGTGTCTGGGTCAATCATTTCTTTTATATTGATAAAGGAATTTTCTTCGGCCATGACGAGAAGAACGAACTTTTGAACATTGAGCTTACTCTGGAACTTGATGAGCTTCGTGTGTGGCAGTTTGCCCGTAAAGATGAGGACATTGTTAAAAACATGGCGGTCAAGATACATGGCTACATTGACGGCTTGGTTATGTTTTGTGGGTTTGATGAAGGATACGGCACTACAACGAATGGGACACTGTACGCACTTAGTGACAACGCAACTACATCTGGATACTACCACCGTGGAAACAAAACCCAAGATAAAAGAATTGTATACGAAGTTAAACCCCGGAGTGTGAATCTACTGTGGAAACCATCAGGCGCACCTTACCCGAATTTGGGTGATTATGAAATCAACTTTGAGTCAGATGTTTTGCAGAACGACACCAAAACTGAATGTTACAAATTGTTTTATACTGGAAATCTGTATAAATACTGTGGCAAAAAGCTTGTCACACAAACATTGTTTTATTACGAAGCGTGTCTAATGGATGTCGCTCATTCCGGGGACATACAGCACACTAAGATCTCTGTGAGCATGTTTGCATTTTACTGCCAGAAAGTATTGGCCGTCCAATCTTGTAGCTTACATGGTTTCTACGATGGTTTTCCGGAGTGTGAAGAAAAGCCAGGTTGTGGGCATATGAATAATAGACGGCAACGAAGGAAAGGATCAATGCACAACCAGAGACGGCGACGAAAGAAAGGACCAAAGGACTGCAAACCCAAACCACCAAGGGTCAGGCAGAGACAGCGACGACCCAAACCACCAAGGGTCAGGCAGAGACAGCGACGACCCAAACCACCAAGGGTCAGGCAGAGACAGCGACGACCCAAACCGCCAATGGTCAGGCGGAGACAGCGACGACCCAAACCGCCAATGGTCAGGCGGAGACAGCGACGACCCAAACCGCCAATGGTCAGGCAGAGACAGCGACGACCCAAACCGCCAATAGTCAGGCGGAGACAGCGACGACCCAAACCGCCAATGGTCAGGCAGAGACAGCGACGACCAAAACCGCCAATGGTCAGGCAGAGACAGCGACGACCCAAACCGCCAATAGTCAGGCGGAGACAGCGACGACCCAAACCGCCAATGGTCAGGCAGAGACAGCGACGACCCAGACCGCCAATGGTCAGGCAGAGACAGCGACGACCCAAACCGCCAAAGGTCAGGCAGAGACAGCGACGACCCAAACCGCCAAAGGTCAGGCAGAGACAGCGACGACCCAATCCGCCAAAGGTCAGACACAGTCAGCGACGAAGGAAATTGTGGTGAAAAGATAAAGAAAGTTCGTTTTCAAATTGCGTTGGAGAAGATGTTTTTCAACATTTTTCGAAAAATCGTAGTCGTAGAGTATTGTATATAACGGTGCAAACTTTATACCCTAATGCTCACAAGACTATGTTTGTGTAGTTTAATTCAATTTACTAGATTGCCTCAAAATATAATCCTCAAAAGGCAAAGTAATTGACATTTATTAATTTTAATAATAATCATAAATTCATATTTTCAATTGACATAATATTACACAGTAATAAAGCACCATGCAGTAGTAGCGTAATATTAGTAATTGTAATTTCTAGTTTACTAACATAGTTGTTAAGCCTGGTTTCCGTATGATCGTAACGGTCGTAAAAATTGAGTTACGACCTTTCTCATCAGTCGAAATACAACATTTTAGAACTGAAAATACGTGGAGTGATTATAACTAGAGAATACTTATATGCTTTATATGTGGTTTACAGGTATAAACTATTATAAACAGGCCGTTGCGAAAGATCGTGACTCTATTTTTACGACCATATGGAAAAAAGGCTTTAAAGTTTAAGTTTGAATCCATTTTGAAAATATAACTCTTGCACAAATAATTTGTCTATATGCTGAATATTACAAAATGAAAACATAAAGAGGGGCGACCCACTTTCATTTTTGCTCTTGTGATTGAAGCGTTCTTTTAAATTGCAATTAAAACGCAGTCGTACACTGACCAAAAATGTTTTATTTATTATCATATTCATTTTTGAAGTCATGCGCGATTCGAGCAATTTCATTGGCTAAAAATACTGCGATTACAGCCCTTATATAGTTAGTGTCAAAGTTCAATTTTTCCGTTTGACGATTGGTCAAAACCGTATCACGTTGACCGGTCAATAATAGGATGGGTGCAGTGCGTATGCGCGTCAACCGTGAAGTTCCAAAGTTCATTTTATTAAACTTTTTTATTAAACATTTACGGCGTTCCATTTATCACGTTTTGGTTTCAAAGTTCACTCCAATAACCGGTGAAGTATACCGACCGCCCTGGCCTTCCAAAAGTTTAATCAAATCCTGAATTATGTTCGTAATATAGAGTCCTTTTTAATTTGAAAATTATATTTTGAATTTGAATGTACAAGTAACTTCGTAAAAGGATTAGGGGGCATTCACAAAGGATTTCCGGCCAAATGATGGATTTTCAGACCCCCCCTCCCCCCCCCCTTGTCCGGCATTGTCCGAAATAGTGAACCCCCCTCCCTCCCCCGGACATCCACCATGCCTCGCAAAAACTCACACAACCTTGTATATGTCAAGAGTAAAAAACTTTTTTTTACTTTTAGAACTTTTTTATAACTATAAATGTGAATACAAAAACATATAAATTACTAATTAAAACAAAATCTAGTGTTAACCGCGCAGTCAAAATGCCAATTTCACAATGAGAAGGACTGCTCAAAATAGAGGGAAAAAGAAATTTGTTTTTGAATTTTTTAAAATTTCGGACATCCGGATTGCTAACCCTCCCCCCTCCCCAGGGCCACCCAGAGGTTGGCGGGGGCCCGGGGCAAATTAATTTTTAGGGGGCCCTATCTAAAAAAATTTTTCCGGAAAAATATTTTCCGGATCTTATTTTGGCGACCTCCCACCCACCCCCCCCCCGTCGCCAAAAAAATTTCGGTCAGTGTACCATTTTAGGGGTAAAAAAAAATTTTTCGGACCCAAAATTTTGCCGGACGAGTACGTTGCAAACGCTTTCGATTGACTTTATCTCATTTTTTTAGGCCAAAATTCAGTACTTAGCCCAAGAAAACAGATATCTTGTCCTTTGCGCGGAAATATTTAACACACAAAAAAGGCGGGGCCCCTACAAAAATTTTTCAGGGGCCCCCAGCAACTCGGGGCCCGGGGCAAATTGCCCCCTTTGCCCCCCCCCCCTCTGGGCGGCACTGCCCCTCCCCCCCCTATGTCCGAGTTTGTCCTGATTTTCCAAACCCCCCTCCCCCTTGGCTCGGACATCCTTTGTGAATGGCCCCTTATCCATTGTATTTGTTCAGACAATCTTGGAAAAAATATAGCTGTAGACTTTTCGAAAAATACACTCAAATTTGAAAGCATATAATGAAAATGTGAGCATTTTTCAAATTAATTAAATTCCCCCCTCCCCCCGATACAATGTTGGTTAAGGTAAAGTGGATTTGCAACCCATATTACCTAAATACCAACATTGTATAAGGGAGGGAGGGGGGCGAAGTTTGAAAATTTAAGTCAACTAATTTTTTTTCAGGATTGTATATAACAAAACACTTATTTACTGAGACTTCGGGAAAGCAGTGTGTTTTGTGGCCCCTCGACATGACATTGAAGTAAAACCCGACTTATTTTCACCTATTTCTATACAAAGAGGTATATATTTCGAACAAGATACACGTATACATTAATGGATGATTCCAGTTATACACTAAATTTTGGTCTAGGCAAGTAGAACAAAATCCATCAAAGAGCATGCATGTTAAAATTAGTAAAATTGCAAAGTTTGGCCGCGAAATGTTGTGAAATGCGGAAAATATAGCCTGCGGAAAATATCGCCTGCGAAAATTGCAAATTTTGTATTAATTTGTATTACGCGCGGAAAAATGCACCACATTTGGGCCGAAAATATAAATTAATACAAAATATGCAAATTAATTTCGTAGGGCTATATTTTCCTCATTTTACAACGTTTGCAATTTACTAATTTTATAACATGCTCTTTCTAGCTGTGGTGATGGATTTTGTTCTTCTTGCCGAGATCAAAATTTAGTCTTTAGCTGGAATCATCCATTAAAAAATGCAATCTGCAATTATTAACCTTTTTAAGCCAATTTAGTAATTTTGTCGAAGACGAAGTAGTTATAATTTTAAAATAAGTACCTTTGAAAAAGACAATATAACAATTTACAGAGTTGAAATTAGCGGACATAAATATGTTTTTGGCCTGACTCTGACTCATTTTATCTCTATCTTGTCGGGTATATCCATGCAATTTCGTCGGGCTAATTTTGAAAATATTCGAGTGTCGCGGATTGAAAAGTAATAGTTGTAACAGTGGCGTAACGCAACCGCTGGGGGCCCTCCGTCAATCGGCCACTTTGGGCCCCTTTGCTCCACTAAAAATAGGCTCCAAAAATTTTTCTCGAAACAATTTATTTTTGGCGACCTCCCCCCGGGAAATTTCTCGACTGATTTTGCCTTTTCCAGAGAACGGGGTTTTTTTATTCAATTCAATTCAATTAATTCAATTCCCCAGAAATGTGCTATCAAATTTTTTAAGGTCATTTTTGTCGGGGGCCCCTAAAGTTCGGGGTCCCCCGTCACTGGACACCCTGACACCCTCCCGTTACGCCACTGAGTTGTAAGAAAAATTTTGATAAATTTACGAAAATATTACTGAAAAATTTTACAAATTACGGTAAAATTTTCGAAAGTTACTGAAAAATGGTATGTCCGGAAATATTTTACCTTGTTATGTCCGGAATTTTTTTTAGGGAATTTTTAATTGCTTTTTGAAGCAAGTAATTGTATGATTGTTTAATTCCTCTTTGAGCAGTAATTTTAAATTTTGCATGGTACCGGCAGGCTACAAGGCCAAGAATAATAAATTCTAACTTTAAATACGTACATAAGTTACATACCAAGATTTTGTTGATATGTAATAACTCGTTGTTGACTCGATTGAATAATAGTAGAACAGTATTGTAGACTGTAGATGGATTATCGGGTGGAAATTTATATATATTTATACATCTACATTTATTATACATTTATTAGACCTAACCACGAACAGCTGCGATAAATGCAACTTAATTAGGTCCCTGAAAGGAATCGAACATGCGGCATGTATGGCAGTACTGTTGTACATCTTAATCAAAGTTGTTTGGGGGACACAGCTCTTTAGTCGTCGTAGCATACCTATGCCTTTTGATAGTTTGCCTGAAATAGCTTCAACCCGCTTAATTTTTGTATCCCCACATTCTAAGATTGGGTCAATTTCAATAGCCGATAATCTCTGGTGTGAACCAATTATCATATATTCTGTTTTATCTTTATTTAATGTAAATTTATTGGCCAATAACTAGTTGTGCATAAGCTCTAGGTCAAAATTTAATCGCTGTTGTAGTCTTCTTTATATTTGAGCTCGCAGTGACTAGATTTGTGTCGTCGGCAAACATATTCGCTCTAGTATATTTTAAACAATTAGGCCTGAAATCGTTAATATAAAGAAGGAATAGCGGAGGACCCAGGTTAGACCCCTGGGGTACTCCACTACGATTTTTTTGCGGCTGCGAAATAGTTTGACAGGTATGTTTTAAAGCAATTTAGTTCAACCTCTTTTATGCCATATAGTTCCAGTAGGATACTGTGTTCCAGGGCCTTTCTTAACATACAAGCTGGGGGGATGCCCCTCATTCCCCCCCCCCCCACGAAATCACATCCCCCCCAGGAAATGTCCCTTTTTCCTAAAATTATACAAACAAACCAGCGACAAATAGATAAACGGAAAGTAAGTTTTAGGCTTTATCCTTTGTCCTTGTTTAACAAAATCGATTTAAATTGTTACGTTTTTCTACCACTAAGTAATGATAAATTATTGTTAATAATTTTTTATTTTTGGATGCTCAGAATGCAGGAAATAGCATTTCCGGGTTTCAAATTTCAAAAATTTTCGGGGGATTATCCCTCTAATAAGTAATGATAAATTATGGTTAATATTCTTTTTTCTTTTTGTGCATTTTTTTCTTCTTTTATTTCAAATACAAGTATAGTTAGCATAAATTTTAGAGCAAATTTGGATGCTCAGAATGCAGGAAATGGCATTTCTGTGCGTCAAATTTCAAAATGTTCTGGGGAGTACACCCCCAGACCCCCCTCCCATTCATGTGTGGTATATTGGGCACACATGTGGCCTTCAGCCATTGCTATCCCCCTCTAATATATTATCTCACAGAAAGGTCTCTTTTCGAAAAATGCCCCCCCCCCTGGGAAGATCCTTAAAAAAGGCCCTGCTGTGATCTACGCAATCAAATGCTTTCTTTAAGTCAAGAAAGACAACTCCATTTAGGTACCCTTTGTTCATATTTAAATACCATTCATTCGTAACAGATAATAATGAAATTCTGTTGAATGCTTCTTTCTGAAACCTGATTGTTGGTTTACTAATATTTTATTACTTTCCAAATAGTTTGAAAGCTGATGAGAAATAATTTTTTCAAAAATCTTAGCAACCGCAAACAATACAGACACAGGTCTATACCTGGGTACGAAGTTGAGGTCTATAATTTGTGGGTTTACTTTTACTATCCGATTTATAAATAGGGGAAATAATTGCTATTTTCATATCGTCTGGAAGACTACCCAATAATATTGACTTATTGAATATTGCTGTTAATGACTCATTGATTAGGCTACGTCAGCAGAATCCTTCAACAGTTTAGCCGAGATTCTGTCGTGTCCTGTAGCTTTACTTGTTTTAATAGTATATAGCAGTTTAGAAACATCTGTTTCAGTTACCAACTGAAACCGGAAAATGCTGTTTAAAGGTTTTACATACGATTCTGGTATCTGGTTATGTTACAGAAGATCTTCTGCTAATTTGGGTTCTATCTTTGTAAAAAAGTTATTGAAAATATTTGCAGGTTCTCTTGGTTCAGTTACTATATTCCAATCATCTGAAATTCCAGTTATATTGGTGGATTTTGCATTTCTATTTGTTAACTCATTAACTTTTTTCCATATTTTTTTTGGATTTGCCTCGCAATTACTAAATGACTAAATGCCTAATAATTTGCTTTGGCA